TGCTCCCAGGCATGTTGTCAACAGAAATGTGTGCATGTTGTGTCAAAAATTAATCAAAGGAACAGAACCACTAGGAGATGTCTGAAGGGATTTATTGCAAGAATTCAGTCTCACACAGTTGGGGGAGCTGGGTAGACGGTCTGTGTGAGGCTGCTGTCCTGCTGCCTGATGATGGAGCTGGAACTCTGTTGGGCGGGCAGTGATGGAAGAGGAGAGTATGGTTGGGAAGACGGAGAGAAGCTGGGACACTTAAGAATGTACCGAAACCCGGTCAGGCTGCCTCTGACTTTAATGACGCGGGTGTCCTGATGAAGCCGATGCCCTTCGTTACGGAACTAAACACACACCTGGCTTAGGAGTCCGAGAAGCTGAAAGAGGATCCCAGGGAGACTGGGTCCAGCATTCACAGGCCTGGCTGCCACCACCTGGCCCCCGATCGAGGTGACCTGCAGATGAGCAACAATGCACATGAGCTGCCCAATGCTGCTTTTTTTTTTTTTAAGATTTTATTTATTTATTCATGAGAGACACAGGCAGAGGGAGAAGCAGGCTCCCTGTGGGGAGCCCGATGTGGGACTCGATCCCGGGACCCCAAGATCACCCCCTGAACTGAAGTCAGATGCTCAACCACTGAGCCACCAGGTGCCCCCGTACCAGCCTTCTGATGGGAATGCAGGTACCTGCGGCTTCCCTCCCACGTTCCCCATCTCACCTCATAAGAGGAAGGGAGTTCTGAGCACCGGGGTTCGGCCCAGCCGGGTTCAAGCATTACGGAGCCACCACACACATCCACCAGATGACAGGTGTAGGGATTTTTCCAGCTGGTCTAGTGGCAATAGCTTCAAATTGGAAATAAGCTAAATGTGCATCATCAGTTCAACCACTGCTGTGTTACATGCACAGGATGGAAGTAGTACAGGGACAGACTATTGCTCTGTGTGTCAACATGAATGAGGGGCGGCCCGGGTGGCTCAGCGGTTGGGTGTCTGCCTTTGGCCCAGGGCGTGATCCTGGAGACCCGGGATCGAGTCCCACGTCGGGCTCCCTGCATGGAGCCTGCTTCTCCCTCTGCCTGTGTCTCTGCCTCTCTCTCTCTGTCTCTCCGAGTCTCATAAATAAATAGAGTCTTTAAAATTAAAAAAAAAAAAAACAAGCCACGAGTGAATCTTACCAAATCATGGAGTTAAAGGAGACCCACAAGAATGCAAACCATGATCGCGTCCGCGTAAATTTCAAAACAGCCAAGCTAGGTTTGCGGTGTGACAGGTGGCGACAGCAGCCGCCAGGGACAGAGGGTTAGCGAGGGCACCTGCTGTCCTGCGCCTTGGTCTGGGTGCTGGTGACCCAGCTCTGTGTAAAACTCCCTGAGCTGGGCCGTTTGGGATTCGTGTGCTCTTCTGTACTTCGCTTTCAGTGACAAAGTGTAGGGAAATTAAAGTTTTAAGGAGTTACAGAGCCGTCCCGGACCGGCCGGGTTGGAGGGAAGAAGCGAAGTTCAAGCTCTTTGAACCCGGTGCGAAGTGGCAGAGGGGAGAGGAGGTGACTTCGGTGAGCGGAGGCCGGGGCCCACCTGCGGGGCATCGCTGCTCCGTCCCCTCGCGCCCTCCTAGGCCGGCCACCTGCTGCCGTGGTGCGGGGTTAGGGCTGTGTACGCGGAGGCGCAAGGGCGCAGGAGCTCGCCGGCGACTCACCCATGTGGCATGAGGTGGGGACCATGATCCTGCATGTCTGGGGGGGGCCCTGGCACCCTTTTCAGTCCCCTGGGGAGCCTGATGCGCTCCGCAGGCAGAAGGGCCCCTGAACTCTGGAGACAGGAACTCCGGATGGTAAGGGGGAAAGATGGGAATCCCTTTATCCCCAAGTTCACCCCCATTTCAAAGTACAGTGTGCCCCCTCTTGTCTTTTTTTTTTTTAAGATTTTATTTATTTATTAATGAGAGACACAGGCAGAGGGAGAAGCAGGCTCCATGCAGGGAGCCCAATGTGGGACTCCATCCCGGGACCCCAGGGTCACGCCGTGAGCTGAAGGCAGGCACCAAACCATTCAGCCACCCAGGGATCCGCCCCCCCTTGTCTTTAACCAGGCCACACACAGCATCGTTCTAGCCTGTTTTATAAAATACTATTCCAGGGGTGCCCGAGTGGCTTGGTTGGTTAAGCATCTGCCTTTGGCTCAGGTCATGATGCCGGGGTCCTGGGATCGAGCCCCAGGTCAGGCTCCCTGCTCAGTGGTGAGCCTGCTTCTCCCTCTCCCCCTGCTGCCCCCCCCGCTTGTGCTTGCTTTTTCTCTCTCTCTCTGTCAAATACATAAAAACTCTATAAGAAAAGAAAAGGTGAAAATACTAATTCCCCTTCCCATGCTTTTTTGTTTTAGTTCATTGTTAGTCAGATTCATGATTCCTCTCTTGAAAGCAAACTATTTGAAAGCTCTCAGGCTGTGAACACGGGACTGGGTGACCCTCTGGGATGGGTGCCGTGTTTGGAGACTGGATCGTGTGTCGGGAGACTGGATACGCAACCTCTCTGACGCCCCGAGCAATGATCCGCAAGTGCTGTTGGCTGGATTACTGATGGCATTTCTCAGGCCTAGGAAAGTCCTGTAATTAAACCCCACAATCCTTCCCACCCCTGTCTACCCTCACAGGGCCACCGCCCACTCCTGGGCAGACCATCCCAAGGCCTGCTGCTTCCGCTGTCCCCAGTCCCCCAAATCTTCCCACCCTTCTCTGCCTTGGGAAGGGGCATTTCATGCATTTCTTTCCCACCTGGCCGAGGCCCATCAGTGAGGAACATTGAGACCCGTGCCAGGTGCTCAGAGCAGGAGGGAAGTACTAGAGCATTTGTCTTCAGGAAATTCGTATCTTGTGCCGGATCCCAGGGAATTTATTTATTTATTTTTTTAAAGATTTTATTTATTTATTCATGAGAGACATAGAGAGAGGCAGAGACACAGGCAGAGGGAGAAGTAGGCTCCATGCAGGGAGCCCGACGTGGGACTTGATCCTGGTTCTCCAGGGTCAGGCCCTGGGCTGAAGGTGATGCTAAACCGCTGTGACACCAGGGCTGCCCCAGGGAATTTATTTTTAATTATTTTTTTCCCTTCATTGAAATTAGGTAGTAAGTAGCTGGGAGCGTGATCTCAGGGGGTTAGGGAAAGGAAATGGGGAAAAGAGGGTAAAAGTGAGTCCGCCTCCTCACTTACTGAATCGCCCTCATCTTACAATCAGGAAACCAAGACTCTCAAGAGGTTGTACCAAAGGTCACACGGCTCATGGCAAAGCCAAGCCTTGAAGCCAAGTCTAACCCGGCCCGAGTGCGTGTGTACATGCCACACCATCGGCCCCCAGGTGACTGGTCTGGCTTCCTGCTGGAAGTCCAGGCCAGGACCCTCGGCTCCTGCCGGGCACCAGCTCCGCTGGCTGGGGGTGACTAAGCAAGTTTCCTTAATGTCTCATCGTTTCCTCATATGTAAAAATGAGAGAAAGTCGAAAATGTGATGATTACATAACTCTCCCTTGAATTGTTTGCTGTACATGAGTAAACTGTACGGTCTGTGAGTTGTAGCTCAGTAAAGCTGTTAGAAAAGATAAAGGTGAAATCTCACATGTAGCTTAGTATTTTTATTTTGAAATATTTTGAATTATGCAAGAAAATGGTAGGGAATATTCCATACCGTTTTGTCAAGTGTCTGGGTCACACTGTTACTGTGCCTCTCTCTGATTCCCTCGGTCTGATGGATGCTCATCACTGTTTCATTCTAAAATCCATGTTCTCCTCTATCATGGCTTTTATCCCCTGGAACTATGACCATTTGGTCTCCTTGTTTATATCTGGACTTTAATCTCTTTGAGGTCAGGAGCTATGTCTTACTTGACTTTGTAGCTCCAACATCCAGCTCAGTAGGAAGATCATCATTATTTTTTTTAATTTTTTAAAATTATTTTTTAAGATTTTTTTAAAAAAATTATTTATTCATGAGAGACACAGAGAGAGAGAGAGAGAGAGGCAAAGACACAGGCAGAGGGAGAAGCAGGCTCCATGCAGGGAGCCTGACATGGGACACGATCTTGGGTCTCTAGGATCACACCCTGGGCCGAAGGTGGTGCTAAATCGCTGAGCCACCCAGGGATCCCCTCATTTTTTTTTTTAAGACTTTATTTATTTGTTCATGAGAGATGCAGAGACATAGGCAGAGGGAGAAGCAGGCTCCCTGTGGGGAGCTTGAGGCGGGACCTGATCCCAGGATCCTGGGATCAGGACCTGAGCTGAAGGCAGATGCTCAACCACGGAGCCACCCAGGTGCCCTGAGCACAGTAGTTAATGCTGACTGAATGACTGAATGAGCTCCAAAGTTCTGGAAGCAAAGAATGGATGGCTGAACTTTGGATGTGGGCCTCACCTAGGGAGAGAGGAGAAAAAATTCGGGAAGGAAACAGCTACCTAGATCAGAGAAGTAGGAAACGAACCAAGATAGTATTCCATCATGGGAATCAAGGAAAAAGAAGAAGAAACTTTTGAGGAATTCTCAACTGCTGCAAAAAGGTCAATGAAAATGTGAATCAAAAATAAAAGGAGTTTGGGGTTTGCCAGAGTCGGTAGCTGTAGGAGGACAAGATGGACCGTGATCTCAGGGGGGTCAGGGAAAGGAAATGGAGAAAAGAGGGTAAAAACACACCCTTGGGAGTGAGGCTGTGAAAGGAAGGAGGTTTGGAAATGACTTCACAGAATGGACCCACCAGAGACCATATCCTTGCTGGACAGGAGACTGCTCAGCTCAAGGCAGAGCTGGAAGGCTCCTTGAAGGCTCGTCTCCTGGCCCTGCAGAGTGACTGGGGAAGAGTGCCGGCGGGTGGCTGGTGGATGAGATGACCCACCGGAGCGTCTTGGTGGCCAGGTCAACAGCGCGTTTATCGGGTAGCCATAGACCCTCAGCTCTTGGACAAGGGCCTCTTCTCTGAATGACTTTGTTTCTTTTGACTTGTATCCCCCCTTTCCCACAGGGAACATGGTGGAGTGGTGCTTACCTCAGGATATTGACCTTGAAGGTGTTGAGTTCAAGTCTATGGCCAGTGGGTCCCATAAAATTCAGTCCGACTTCATGTAAGTACCGCAGGACGCCCCCCGTCGGTTCCCTTTCCTCGCCCATCCTTTCCCCGGAGCGCGAGGGCTCATCAGGGAGGCTCCCGAAGCTGTGTGGAGATGCCCCAAAGATAGATGTGTGGTTTCGTGTTTGTATCCGTTTTCTCCCGAGGAGGCCCCCAGCTTTTGTTTGGTTCTTAGTGGGTGTCATGATTCCACCCCCCCCCCCAAATTAAGAACTATCAGAGGTTCTGTCCCTTTTAAGAAAATACTAGACCTCACTAGAGGTCTGGCTTTATTGGAAGAGTGGACTTTCAGTTCAGTTTGGGTTGGCTTAAGACTTCTACGTGCCGAACCCAAAATCCCGGCTTTAAGTAAGGCCGGTGTACAGTCCCATGTCACTAAGATCCGGGTGAGGAGGAGCCAGCGGTGAGAACGTCAAGGTAACGGAGCAGGAGGTTGCTTGAACTTCTGGGCCGCAGCTGTGACAGGTGTGAGAAAGGGGAGGGAAAAAGAGGGACAGCCCTGGTCCTCCGCCCTAGTGAGAGTATCGGAGACTCAGGAAGTGGGGGAAAGAATCAACGTGGCTCATGCTAATAAGACAGTACCATCCAGAAGGCCTCGAGTCGAGGCTTGTTTTGGTTTGAGTCACGTCATGTTGCAGGAGAGAAGGGATCTGTCCATGGTCATGGGCAGTGGAGCAGCAGGCTTGCCAGAGGCCAAGTCCTGGCTCTTGGTGGATGACCCTTGGTGCTTTCCAGCATCTTCTGGCGCCTCGGTCGTCCCGTCTGGGGGGGGGGGGGTGTGTGGCTTGACCAGTGTTCCCTGGGGGTCTAAAAAAAATTCATCTTCAGGCTGAGCTTCCTCATGTTAGAGCCCTGGACAAGGTTACTTGTTTTCCTCTGCATCTCAAATTAAGAAACAAAGCCAAACAATTTCTCTCTCTCGGATGGTGAGCCACACCATGCACTTGGATCTTTCTAGCTACTTCCGAAAGGGGCCTTTCTTTGGCCTGGCCTGCTTCGCCAACATGCCTGTGGAGAGCGAGCTGGAGCGCGGGGCACGTATGAAGTCCGTGGGCATCCTGTCGCCATCCTACACCCTGCTCTACCGCTACATGCACTTCTTGGAGAACCAGGTTCGGTACGTGGCTTGCATACGTGTGGGGGGAGGCTACAGGGACTGGCCAGCTGCTGTGTGCGTGCGTGTGTGTGTGTGTGTGTGTGTGTGTAGGGCCCTCAGTGATGAAGGCTGTTGCCAACACATGCCCTGCCACGCACATCCATGGTCACACCTCCGGTGTTTCAGCCAAAGTCCTGCTTTGGAAGAATCCCGAAGATTCTTCAGGCTGCAGGGAGAGCGGGGTGGATTTGCCTTCCGTGTTTGCTCCTGGTGTCATCAGTTTTGTTGAATTACATGATCTGTTGACCATTACGTGATCTTTGTTTACCTGAAGCCACAGTAAATACCTCCTCGCCCCACGTAGGCAAACAGACTCTGAACTCCTCTTAAGCCTAACCCTGTATTACTTGGGGTGGTTATTCCTGCTTGTGGTAATAGGAAGGGGAATTTTTTTAACGGAAGCAGCAAAACTAGGCATGGTTTTCTAAATTTTTTCATCACTCTAATTTCATTTCAGATTTTTTTTTTAAGATTTTATTTTTATTTATTCATGAGAGACACACACAGAGAGAGGCAGAGACACAGGCAGAGGGAGAAGCAGGCCCCATGCAGGGAACCCGACGTGGGACTGGATCCTGGGTCTGCAGGATCACGCCCTGGGCCAAAGGCGGTGCTAAACCGCTGAGCCACCCGGGCTGCCCTCATTTCAGATTTTGAGAGAGAAATCTATCCCTGATCCCTGAAGCATTATTAAAATTTTAGCACATTTGCTTCTTTTCTGGTATACATGTGTATATAAAAAAATAAATACTTGGTATCATTCTCTGCATATGTTTCTATACCCTATAGCTTTAAAATTTAATTTATATATATTTTTATATAATTTTTAATATATTTTTATATCTTCTTGATCATCTTTGAAAGTACATGAAATTTGTTTTTTATGAGAAAAAAAGCTTTTAAAATGTATATAAAAGTACAAATGGATTTTAAAAAAAAAAAAATCTTCCCGAATTTTAACACCAAGATATCCATTGTTAATATTCAGTGAATGCCATTCTAAAATAGAAATGGTTTTACAAAAATCAGATTAACACTTTACGAGGATTTAATTTTATCATATAGCAGGCTAGTTTGAAATACATTGAATTTAATCTTCCTTATGGATCAGAGGGAAAGAATAATGAAACCGAAGGAATTGTCAAACTTCAAGTAAATGGTTTTGTTTGGTTGGTTTTTTTGTTTTGTTTTGTTTTTACAAAGAGGTACATTATTTCTTGAAATATTCCTTCAAAGTTAAGGAAAAAGATTATGAAAACCACAAAGATAGAGTTTCATTTATTTATTTTTATTTATTTTTTTTATTGGAGAGTTTCATTTTTATTTTCATCGATAAATAACATTTTCTCAGCATAAGCATCACTGGTGGGCTTAAATGTTTCCGTTGTGAACAGTCTGTCCTCTAAAACCCCCCAGCTCCTCCACCCTAGTTCACATCTCAGTTCTTATATATTGTGGATTTATTCTATGTTTATTTCTATAATCCTGTTTCCCACCATTCTTCAGTCTTGATTCTGGCCAGGGTGTGGCTGTGACTTGCCGTGTTGCCCAGCCCCTGATCGGATTTGTTTCTTGGCTGGTTGGGTTTTGCCATCAAGCGCTTTATTCTTTTCCCTGTGAAAGTTTCGTGGGACCTGCCTTCTCTGAGGTCTTGTGCATTTAATCCCTTTCCTCTGGGTGGGTAGAAGGTTCTGGAATCTTTCCTTCTTCCTCTCAAGATGCTGTAAGTATTGCTGTGCTATCTTCTGATACTGGTTGTCTGGGGAAGTCTCTGATGTCTAGATCCCTGTAGATTCTTTATCCGTGAAGTTTCTGAACTTTCTTTCCAGGGATCGTTTGTCCCTTTTGATCTAGAGATACGTCTTTTGTTTTTAATTTCAGGAACCTTTCCACATGTAAAAAAAATACTCAACTTTTCCATTCCATTTTTCTCCCCTCCTTTTATGCACTGGTTATGCATGTGTTTTCTCTGCCTCATCCTATTTATCATTTTGATGATTATTTTAATAACTCTGTAATGTTAGAGTCGTCCCATAAATTTTCCTAATTGGTCCCGATGGTTGAGCACTTACATGCTGCTTCTTCTTCTTTTTTTTTTTTTTTAATTGCTCCTTTACATTTTGGAACTGTGGTGAACCCCTTCATGTAGATCTCTTTTTCTGTTTTTGAAATATTTCCTCAGTGATGGGTCTCCGAAGTAATATTATAGAGTTTAAGAAAAAAAAAATTGGGGGGAGCCTGACACTTCTCAAAAAATTACTATCCCTTTTGAAAAAACTAGTTTTCCCAAGCAGATGATATTTTCTTGTGGCTCAAATGTTAACAATTTTAAGGTGGTATTCTATTAGTTAGAGTCCTACCTAACTGGCAGTAACAGAGGCCCCAAAATACAATGGTTCAAAGGAAACAGAAGATTCTTTCTCATGTAATGGTCTGGTGGTGGCAGGTGCCTGCTGTTCCCTATGAGTGTTTAGGGACCCTCACTTGTTCTCTTGGATCAATCTACCATACCCTAAGAGTGATGCTTGTGTTCTAAGATATTCTCCAGTGTTCAGAGCTGTTCACCACTGTTTACATCTAGCCCAGAGGGAGGAGAGAAAGCCTGTGAAATTGCGTCATCACTTCTCGTATGCTATTGTCAAGTTCTCCATCACAAAGACACACCTAACAGCCAAGGAGACTGGAGGATGGAGGAGGTGGTCTCTAGGTCAGCGACCTGTGCTCAGTTGAAAAATATGGTGGTTCTGTTGCAAACAGGAAAAAGGGACAGATGGATTTGGGGGCAAAATTAGCAGCCCCAGCGTCAAATTGCCCCTCTCACTAGTCAGATATCTATGTGCACTTTTCCTCTTCCTCCCACATGTAAAGGACATCCCGCTCACCCCAAGAGAAACCTCGTAGAGGCCCATCCATTTAATGCTTCTAGTCTAAAATCCAGGATTTCCGGGTAACACAAGGTCCTTTCATCAGATCAACACATGGTTCTTCGTATCCTAAAATCCTACAAAACAATAGACAAATCCATTCACTGTGCACCTTCCAAACGCAATATAAACGGCAGAGTAAGTGGGGGTGCCTGGGGAGCACAGTTGGTTAGGCATCCGACTCTTGGTTTCTTTTTTTTATTTTTTAATTTTTTCGACTCTTGGTTTCTGCTCCGGTTGTGATCTCAAGGTCGTGAGATCGAGCCCCGAGTCAGGCTCTGCGCTCAGCATGGAGTCTGCTTGGGACTCTCTCCTTCTCCCGCTGCCTTTTTCTCCTGTTCCTGCTCACATGGGCGTGTGCACTCTCTCTCAAATCTTTTTTTTTTTTTTTTTTTAAAAAAAGGTGGAGTAAGAACCACAGTACAAACTCCTGTTTGGAAAAGAGGAAGGGTGAGAAACCCAAACAGCCATTAGTCTCTAATGATGATGAAATTCTGTTGAGCAGGGACTGCGGAGGCTTCTTGTCCTGGCAGAACAGTGTGTTCCTTATTGAAAGCGTGGTTCTATTATTGACAGTCCCCTTGCCCGTTCTCCTTCACCGCTCCTGACTTTGCCCTCGAGAAGGTTCTTTGTCCCTTTTCCATCATAACCACTTCCAAAGCAGACGTCGGAGAACATGATCTCTTTTTAAAAAAGGATTTTATTTATTTATTCATGAGAGACACAGGCAGAGGGAGAAGCCTGCAGGGAGCCCGATGTGGGGCTCCATCCCAGGACCCCGGGATCATGCCCTGAGCCAAAGGCAGACGCTCAACCGCTGAGCCACCCAGGCATCCCCAAAACATGATCTTCTTGAGGCTGCATCGCTGGAGAACACATTTCCTGCTGGTGTAGGTTTGGGGGTGTAGTGGTTTCTTTAAGGGTTGAGAAGTCATAGACTTTTATAGACCAGGCACGTGACAATATAGATCCCTCTAAAACTAACTAGGCTTCTGGTCTGTTTGCTTCCAATCGGTTCCAGTTCCACTGCCAAAGATTTCTTTGGGGTCTTAGTTTTTAAATCAGTGGATTACAGAATAGTTACTGGTGTCTGTTCTTGGCCTGTCTTTTCCTCATTTTAATGGCAGCTGCCTCAAGGCTGTGCCCTAAATCTGATCTTTGCAAATACGTGACTCCCCTCTTAACTGGAGAGTTTCATAGAAGCTTTGAAAGAAATTCTTATCTCCTGCTTTTGGGGTACAAAAGCAGTTGACTTTTCCAGGCCCATGGGATCCCAAAACCACTGGAGTCTCAATTAAATTACATTGCAGAACTCAGAACACGCTGCCCTAGGCTGCATTTCCTTCCATTTCAGCTTGCGGACTGGCCAGTTTTTCCCCATTTTCATCCTTTTCTGGTAGGATGTCATTGAAAATAAGCAGTCAACATTCTACTTTTATGTGCCCCCCCTGAAGTTACAAGTTCAGGTGACACGGACCTATCTTCCAAGGTACTGAAGTTCTAGCAAGTGTTTGCAGAAGTGTAACAAGGGCTACCAACCTTCGGGTCTGCAACGCCTCTTCTCTCACCACTGTCTCTTGCCAGCTGCTAAGCCAAAGGCCACAGTGTCTTGTCTTTTTTTTCTTTTTAAGATTTTATTTATTCATGAGAGACACAGGGAAAGAGGCAGAGTCATAGGCAGAGGGAGAAGCAGGGATCATGACCTGAGCCAAAGGCAGATGCTCAACTACTGAGCCACCCAGGCGTCCCCACAGTGTCTTTTCTGATACGCATAACTCATTTCTCTGCACCATCTTCTGCTTTGGCTGTACAGGCTAAGTTGCTACAACAAAGAAACTCAAGATATAGTGACTCAGAGGAGTCACAGTCACTGGAGAAGCAGTCCAGTGCTGTAGATGCCTCTGTTCTGCTGGGTCATCCTGGGGCCCGAGTCTTGTACGCTCCTATCTCCTAGAGTATTGTCCTCATCCGCATGGTAGAACGGACTCACCATTACCAGGTCATCTTCCGACCTGCAGGAAGAGGAAAAACACAGGAACACCCCAGGTTAAACACATCACTTCTACTTACATGCCATTGGCCAGTTCTTTGTCACTAGCCATGCCAAGCAGCAAGGTCTGGCAGTTGTGGTCCTTAACTAGGGGACTGTGTGATGAGAAACAATCAGAAAGTTCTGCTACTCAGGGGAGAAGAGAGTGGCAGTCTCTACCACTGGCATAAAATGAAAAGTCTAGGGGCACCTGGGTGGCTTAGTTGGTTAAGCGTCTGCCTTAGGCTCAGATCGTGATCCTGGGGCCCTGGGATCGAGCCCCAAGGCGGGTTCCCTGTTCGGTGGGCAGGCTGCTTCTGCCTCTCTCTCTGCCCCTCCCCCTGCTCATGCTCTCTCTCCTGCTCTCTCAAATAAAACCTTAAAAAAAAAAAAAAAGACTTCATTCAGTTCCTATATCCATCCAGTACTCCCAGTAATTACCATTAATTTCCCATCTATCTTTCCAAAATGTGTGTATGGAAACACAAATGTATATTCTTATTCCCCCCTTTTCATGTATCAGATTATACATGTCATTTTTTACACCTTGCTTTTTTCAACGGACTATGTATCTAGGAGATCATGCTCTCACATCAGTACAGAGAGTTTATAATTTCTTATATATGTGCCCTATGCAGAAGAATCACATTTTATCAAGTCTCTTATTGATGGATATTTGGGCATTTCTGGTCTTTTGCTATTACAACTAATGCTGCCCTGAATACCTATGTTCAAGTATCATCTCACATATGAACAGAATATGTGTACATTAAATTTCCAGAAATGAAATTGGTGGTTCAAAAAGAAGATGTATTTGTAATTTTAATAGGCAATTGTCAAATCGTTTTCCATAAAGATTGTGCCATTTTGCATTCCCGGCTGTAATGCGGGAGAATGCAGTTACCTTACAACATTGCCAACACAAAAATAAAACTCTTGAGATTTTTTGGCATTTGGATGGGTAAAACATGGTACATGAGTATAGTTTTGATTTGCATTTTTCTTATGAGTGAGATTGAGCATCTTTTTATTTGAGTCATTCGCTTTTCCTCTTCTGTGAACCATTTCTAGGCTTGGTTCCAATTTTCTTTCTTTCTTTCTTTCTTTCTTTTCTTTCTTTTCTTTCTTTTCTTTCTTTTCTTTCTTTCTTTTCTTTCTTTTCTTTCTTTCTTTCTTTCTTTCTTTCTTTCTTTCTTTCTTTCTTTCTTTCTTTCTGTTGTTGGCCTTATTAATTTCTAGGAGTTCTTTGTGTAGTAGGGAGATTTGTGCTTTGCAGAATAAATTGAAAATCTTTTTCCACTTTGTTATTCATCTTTTAGTTATTTTAAGATTTCATTTATTTATTTTGGGGGAGGGGCAGAAGGAGAGGGAGAGAGAGAAACCCAAGCAAACTCTGCACTGAGCACAGAGCCTGACACAAGTCTCGATCCCACCACCCTGAGATCATGACCCAAGCCAAAATCAAGAGTTGGACGCTCAGCTCATTGAGCCACCCAGGTGCCCCTGTCATTCATCTTTTCACATGACTTTTTGTCATGCAGATGTTTTTCTTCATTGAATTCATTAATATTTTCATGGCTTCTAGAATTTGAGTCACAGCTAGGAAGGCTTTCTAGCTTGGATTACAGAGGGCTTGAGAGGAAGGACTCCCGTGAGAGTAGAGGGGGAGAGAAGCATGTGAGGTGAGCCCAGGTCCAGGCCAGGGCTGTATTTGACAGCAGCAGTGACATATATATATATATTTTAAAGATTTTTGGCAACTTATAATTAAATTAACCAGACTTGATTTCTGAAAACACTGAATCTGTGTTTTCTATCCATTCTTATTTCTCATATCCCAAACTTACTGGATTTCCTCCATGACTCTTGGCTTCAGTATTTCTCCACTTAGTCCTTTCTGTGACTGGTTCTTATGAGTCAGAAGATACTGGAGAATTATCTTATAATTAAAAAAAAAATAGAAAAAGAAGGAGGGAGTGTTATGAAATAAAAGGGACTTATGACACGTAGCCACATCTCTGGACCTTGCTTAGATCGTGATTCAGACAGCCAACTTTAAAACATTTTGGGGGGGATCCCTGGGTGGCGCAGCGGTTTGGCGCCTACCTTTGGCCCAGGGCGCGATCCTGGAGACCCGGGATCGAATCCCAGGTCAGGCTTCCGGTACATGGAGCCTGCTTCTCCCTCTGCCTGTGTCTCTGCCTCTCTCTCTCTCTGTGTGTGACTATCATAAATAAATAAAAAAAATTTTTTTAAAAATAAAAAAAAATAAAACATTTTGGGGACAGTTGGTATAATTTGAGTGTGGACTGGGTATTATTTTGTGTTTGGGCTTCATTATTTTGTTAGGCGAGATAATGGCATGCTGTTTATGCTCTTTTTTAAATAGACTTTATCAGTTAAAGATGTATACCAAAGTGTTGATGGGTAAAATGTTATGATAAGGGATTTACTTTAAAACATTCCAGGAAGAAGAATGGCAGTGGGGGGACAGGATGTAGATGTAACCGTATTGATAAAATATTGATCATTGTTGAAGCTAAGTGATGGATGATGGAGCTTAATATTCTTTTTTCTACTCTTTGTATAAGTTTTAATTTTCCATAATGAAAAGTTTAAAAGACTAAATGTAAAATTATCATATAATTATTGTAGAAGACTGAAAAAGAGACAAAAGCTCAAGAAAATAAAAAGAACGTGATTCCACCATCCAGACGTATCTGCTATTAATATCTATATCCTTCTAGTCCTTTCCCCATGTATAAATATATACATATACAATTTTTAAAAAAGAATATGGGGGATCCCTGGTGGCTCAGCGGTTTAGTGCGTGCCTTCGGCCTAGGGCATGATCCTGGAGTCCCGGGATCGAGTCCCATGTCAGGCTCCCTGCATGGAGCCTGCTTCTCCCTCTGCCTATGTCTCTGCCCCTCTCTCTCTCTGTCTCTCTCATGAATGAATAAATAAAATCTTAAAAACAAAACAAAAAAGAATATGGAGGTCATTCAGCATCTAAGATGTCTAAGCAGGTATGATAACCTTTCCATGAATATCATGCATAATGGTTCTCAACATCATGGTGGTTTCAAAGCATTTCGGTGTATAGATGTATCATGATTCATTTAACTATATCACTGCTATTAGACTTTTAGGTTGTTTCTTTTTTTTTTTAAGATTTTATTTATTTGAGAGAGAGAGAGACAGAGATAATGACAGAGAAAGCACAAGCAGGGAGGAGAAGGAGGAGCGGGCTTGCTGCTGAACAGGGAGCCCGACTTTCTGCGTTGGGTAATAATGTGATAAAAAACTCAGGACCTCTTACCACTCTGGGCTTGCAGAGACCGGGCTGTGGGGAACCCTGTCAACTGTCCCTAAAACCAAGAAAGCCGTGTTGAAGCCCCAAACCATTTGGACAATGGAGCATCCCGCCTTCAAGTCAAGTACAAGAGTGCTGGGGTACCGTGTGTGGCACTATGTTTAATGGGGGTGCTATGGGTTAACCTGTCCCTGCCACTCTCCTCCAGAAGAAAGATCTGCTGGAGTCCATGCAGGGAGCCCGAAATGGGACTCGATCCTGGGACTCCAGGATCACGCCCTGGGCTGAAGGCAGGGGCTAAACCGCTGAGCCACCCAGGGATCCCGAGAGCAGCTTTAATAAAGCCGGGGGTTTGTGGTCTTGCCAACTGCCTCGGTCTCCGCGTGCTCTGGGAAGGGGCACACACTCTTGAGCACGCCTTGCTCGAGAACATTACACATCAGTCACAGCGTGTCCATTCTGTGCGTTCCCCACGAAGAGGACGGTGTGTTCCGTGGTGTCAGGGAGAGTCAGACCCCACATGTGAGCTTTCCCTAATGACCTGCCTAACACCAGTGTAGGATGGAGGTCTTTTCAGTTGATCACTTCGTCCCTGAGGGTTCTAGAAGCCCTTGTGGTGGGGGGCGTGAGGGGCAGACTGGGCCTGAGCTCTTCTCACTGTGTGTGTGTGTGTGTGTGTGTGTTTTGCAGACACCAGCTGGAGACGCCAGGACATTACTCCCATCTGGCTGCATTCTATGAGGACAAGAAAGGGGTGCTCCATGCCGGTCCGGGGAGAGGTGGGAGCCTGCCCCCCGTCTACTGGTTGCCTTCCATCCACCGATACATGTACCCTGAGATGAAGGTAGGGCTGGCCACACGCTCACGTGGTCCTGGGCTCGTGTGTGCTACGGTGGCTATTGATTATTATTTTTTTAATTCATAAGGAATTTATGTCTTGGGCTCATGCCCAGAGTCTGACTTTGATAGGTTTCTGACCCAAACATTTGGATCCTTTTAAAACACAAGGCAACGATGTGCTTTCTAGACTCTGCTCTGACCATGGTGCAAAGCCATGTATGGTGACGTGAGGCAGGCCAGGTGTGGTGGGTCCCTAGCAGGGAAAAGGTGGATTTGATTCTGTTGTTGGCTTCAATATCTTAAAACCAGACACCAGAACTGAAAAGACGAAGAATTTAATGAATAGATACAATAGTTCATAGTTTTCATATTCCTGATATTCCTTTACTATGTGTTTTTTCTGAAGTACTTTGCCTGTGAACCTGGATGTGTTCGTTGACAGTTCACAAGCCTTAGGTGTCGGGAGGGTACAGAGAGGAGTATGAACGGGAAGCTCCTCCTCCTCCCTCCCCTGGAGGTGGTCACAAGATACTTCAGGGGATACAGGGCTCCCTGGTGGAGAAATCATGCCAGGGCTTTAAGGGAAAACTCTGGAAAGGCATCTTGGAAGAAGAGTTGGGTCCCTAAAGTATTTGTTTTAATTTTATTTTTTTATTTTTATTTATTTTTTTTAAGATTTTATTTATTTATTCATAGACACAGAGAGACAGAGGCAGAGACACAGGCAGAGGGAGAAGCAGGCTCCACGCAGGGAGCCCGACATGGGACTTGATCCCAGGTCTCCAGGATCACACCCCAGGCTGCAGGCGGTGCCAAACCGCTGCGCCACCAGGGCTGCCCTGTTTTAATTTTATTAAAGATTTTATTTGTTCATGAGAGGCAGAGACACAAGCAGAGGGAGAAGCAGGCTCCCTGCGGGGAGACTGATGCAGGACTCGATCCCAGGACCCCGGGATCATGACCTGAGCCAAAGGCAGATGCTCAACCCCTGAGCCACCCAGGGGTCCTGAGTCCCTGAAGTATTTGGCTGGGCGAGAGGTGAGGGATCCTAATTCCAGACTGAGGCAGGGCTCGTGGGACCACGGTCCGTCACCCTGCACCCCATCCTGCTAGCTAGTTATCTGTACCCGTTGCAGCATTTTTTAAAGTGAACGATCGTCTCATCCCTGTTTTCCACATGAACCAACGGAGGTCTGTAAAGGTTCGGTGACTTACGTAAGGCCTTACGGCTAGTAGGAGATAGGGCCAGGACTTAAACATAGGACCCGTGCCAAAGCCGGTGCTTGCCCCCCCACCCCCCGTGGAGATGTAGATGTGAGAAAGCACAAAGCAGGCTCATGGCACGTGAGCAGGCTACAGGCACAGCTCAGAGAGTTTGTGGGTTCGGCTCCAGACCTCCGCCGTAGAATGAATATTGCAGTAAAGTGAGTCCGGTGAAGTTTTTGGTTTCCCGGCGCCTACAAAAGTTATGTTTTCACAATGCTGTAGTTTAGTGAGTGTGCAATAACACTATGTCTAAAAAAAACCGCAATGTACATACCTTAATGAAACCCTGCTTTATTGCTAAAAAAAAAAAAAAAAAGCTGTCATCTGTGTTTTCAATGAGTCATAATCACTGATCACAGATGACCATAACAAATATAATAATAAAAAAAATTTAAAGATTAATTTATTTAGAGAGAACACGAATGGGAGGGGTGGAGGGAGAGGGAATCTCAAGCCAACTCCGCCCTGAGTGTGGAGCCCAACACGGGGCTTATCTCCCCTGCTCTGAGATCACGACCTGAGCTGAAGCCAAGAGTCAGATGCTCCACCGACTGCACCACCCAGGCACCCCAGGAACAATGAAAAATGTGAAATACTGTTAAGAGTTACTAAAATGTGACGCAGAGGTGCGAAGTGAGCAAGTGCCGTTGGAAAAATGGCACCAACGTACTTGCTCGGTGCAAGGCTGCCACAGACTTTCGATTTATAAAAAAATGCAGTATCTGCACAGCCCAGGCAAGTGCAGTGCAGTAAAACTAGGTCTGCCTGTAGGTTGACTGGGATTGAATTTCTATGTCAACTGACCAAGAGAGAAAAGATTGGGAAAATAGGTTGGAACCAAATCGTAGAGAACCGTAAATACTAGACCATGGAATCTGAACCCAAGAAGCACCAGTGGGGTCTTGCCAGGAAAACACAAACTATGTTAGATATTCCCAAGATACTTTGATACAGGAGATCCCTAATCTAGGCATTGGAAGGCTGAAGGAGCAAAAAGGGAGCAAGGAATCTAGATACTTGTAATTCTAGATGGTTACCACCTTCTATTAGTTATTTACTGCCGTGTCACAAATTACCCCCAAATCAGTGGTCTACAGTTGTTCAATTTATTATCTCACAGTTCCTGTGAGCTGGGAATTCAGGCATGCTTGGGCTAGTCCTCTGCTTCATGGTCTCCTATGAGTTATAGTCAAGGTATCAACCAGGGGTGAGGTCTCGTCGGAAGGCTTGACTGGGGAAGTAGCCACTTCCAAGCTTATGCAGTTGGGAGGGGGCTGGTTTCCTTGAGGGCTAGTGGACTAAGGCCTTCAGTTCCGCTGCCTCTTGGTGGTCCCCAGTCCATGGCCAGGTCGGTCTCTCTGACATGGCGACTTGCTTCATCGAAGTCAGCAAGTGAAAAAGTCTCCTAGCAAGATGGAAATCAAAATCCTCTGTAACCTAATGGGAAGTGACAGTCCTGCAGTGTTGCCATGTTCTGTTGGTTAAAGTGAGTTATTCCAGGGAAGGGATATTCCATGAGGCTGTAAATACCAAGCAGGGGGGATCGCTGAGGGCCCTCTTAGAGGCTGCCTGCTGTGTGCACCCTCCCAGGGCTGGGATAACACAGGGAGAGATGACTCTATCAAAACTGCGGGAGCTTGAGGGGCCCTGCACAGCCCTGCTCACATGTCTCAGGCCCCGTGCACCTGCTGATGCTGGCCCCTCTGGGGGGCGTGGCTCAGCTGGAGCTGGGGCTGCTGGGAGAAGCTGGAGGCTGGAATCAGAGGTGTCCTCTGCTGCTGGCAAAATACCAGCAGGAGTGAGCTCCTCCCTTCCTTCTGCCTTCTAATCACCAGTCATTGCATCCCCGAGGAGGAACAACCAGGAAGCCAGCTGGCACAGGAGTCCGGGAATGCAGCGCTGTGGCCTGCCCGGAGAGGCAATAATTAAGAAATGGTCAGAGGGTCATTAGGGCTCTTCTGGGTCTGTATTGACTGAACCTGCTCTTTCTCTCACCACTCCTAACTCTGACCCATTTTTTCCTTCCTTCTGAATCAGATTGCTGCTGGGCTGTCTCAAACCCACAGGGAGGTGACCAGCATCTGACCTGGGTGTCCCCGGATTCTCTCTCCAGTGAGGGAGGGACAGAGGGAGAGAAAGCAAAATTGCCTTCTGCCTTTGCTCCATCGAGGGCAGCTCATTAACTTACATGTCGACCTCTGGTTGATGCAAGGGGAAGGGTACTTTGACGGGTTGCAGATGGAAATGTGAATGGTCTTTCTTTTTAAAAAAACAATTTGTTAGTACTTATCAAAATTACACACGCTCTCTGCGGTAGCAGTCCCACTCCTTATATTCATTAACCCTCTATATTCATTAACCCCCAGAATATAATGTGTCTATTTAAGAATATTTAAAACAGCCTTGTATAGAGTGGTGGGGAATAGGAACGCCCCATATATTATATAATCATTATAAAAATTATAAATATTTTTATAGTCATTATATATTATACAGTTATTATAAATATTATAAATATCTTTATGTAGTCATATATTATACAGTAATAAATATTATAAATATTTTTATTTTTTATAAATATTTTTATAGTCATTATATATTATACAGTCATAAATATTATAAATATCTTTATATAGTCATATATTATACAGTAATAAATATTATAAATATTTTTATTTTTTATAAATATTTTAATAGTCATATATTATACAGTCATTATAAATATTATAAATATTTTTATTTTTATAAATATTTTTATAGTCATTATTATTATACAGTCATAAATATTATACATATTTTTACTTTTTATAAATATTTTTATACTGTCATATATTATACAGTCATTATAAATATAAATATTTTTATACAGTCATATTATACAGTCATTATAACTATTATAAATATTTTTATACAGTTATATATTATACAGTAATAAATATTAGGGATCCCTGGGTGGCGCAGCGGTTTGGCGCCCGCCTTTGGCCCGGGGCGCAATCCTGGAGACCCGGGATCGAATCCCACGTCGGGCTCCTGGTGCATGGAGTCTGCTTCTCCCTCTGCCTATGTCTCTGCCTCTCTCTCATTCTGTGTGACTATCATAAAAAAAAAAAAATTAAAAAAAATAAATACTATAAATATTTTTATTTTTATAAATATTTTTATAGTCATATACAGTCATTATAAATATTATAAATATTTTTATAGTTATATTATACAGTAATAAATATAAATATTTTTGTTTTTTATATTTTTATAGTCATATTATACAGTCATTATAAATATTATAAATATTTTTATTTTTTATAAATATTTCTATACAGTCATTATATATTATACAGTCATTATAAATAATGAATTAGTGCACACGTCGTTGACATGGAAGGTCTACCAGGAAGTGTCTTTGCGTGAGAATAGCAAAGTGCGGGAAACTGTATGTGATATGATCATGCACTTTTGGAAAATAATTACAGCCTCAGGTGTAGGTATAGATACACACGTATACATCAACGTGGGACAGTGTGTGGGTGTACGTTAGGCTGCTAATCCATGTATTACCTGGGGGTGAGGTAAGGAATGGAGGGATGGTGCTTATATGCACAAAAGAAGGGAAGGACCAGGAGAAAAGGACAGCACTCGAAACAGTGGCACATGTGACACGATTCCGCTGGTGGTTTATGGAATGTCACATGTATGTACATATAAAGAAAGTTCAGTGGAAACTTTCTCTTGAAACATAATATTTTGTAGACACAAGTTTTAAAAAAATGCATATATAGCTCAATGAATTTTTACAGAGTCAACACAACGTATGAAGGAAGGTTTAAAATAAAATTTTAAAGTCAGGGTTAGATCTGAGATGGTTGCAGAGACCAAAATCACTGACAGGGGAGGAAGGAAGGCTCGAGGCCTCTCTGAGGGGCTCTCACAGTGGCTGGTACATGCCCGCCTCCTCAGGAAGTGAGGATGTGGGGGAGAGAGCAGGGACTGAGCCCCAGGAGCGTGGAGGCCCCAAGGCTGGAGGGCAAGGGATGGAGGGGAGGCGAGGGATGGAGAGGATCCGAGGGAGTCCAGAGAGCCTGGAGTACCTGCCGTGGGAGGGGAAATGTGAAGGCAGGAGCTGCACGAGTAGGGAGGAGAGTGTCCTATAAAAGCTACAACAAAACAAGGCCCAGATGGAGGAAATGGATTTAGGTAGAAGCAGGAGAACCGTCTGTCATGTGGCTGCTTCCCGCATCGCCGTCAGCTAGTGGCAGTTCCCAGGAAGTGACAAGTTGTCTCTCGACACCGGGCCTTTGTACATGCTGGTGCTCTACCAAGAACACCATTGGTCCAGTTCATCCTTCATGTCCGAGCTGAGACACGCTGCCTCCAGGAAGGCCTCCTTGTCTCTCCGAGAATTGAGTGGGGCACCTCCTGGGCGCTCCTGCAGCCTCCGCTCTCTCCCATCACGGCCTCGGGCTGAGACGTGATGGCTTGTGCACCTGCTTCTCCCAGGAGGCTCTACGCTGTATGGGGGGCGGGTGCTGGGCCCTTCCATTCGTTGTGGATGGAGGCTGCTAGCACGGTGCTTGGTGCACAGTTGGATGGAGGCTGCTAGCACGGTGCTTGGTGCACAGTTGGCACGTGAGAAGTATTTCTTGTCTGAGCGCATCCGGGCATGAATGAATGAATGAGTAGGACTAGAATTAAGGGTTAATCACGTATTCTGGGATCCCAGGGCGCAGGCAATCTGGACAAAACCGTGCCAGGCCTGCATGCAGTAGAGCAACGCTGGAGGGAGGCAGGAGGCGGGGGTGGGGGGCGGGGGGGCCGGGCTCCCCTTCCTGTCTCTTGGCCTCCGGACTCGGGTGCAAGATTGGGATTGGAGGAGCCGGACGACGGCGGGTGGCTCCGCGCCTCCCCCGGAGATCTGGGAGGGATCCTCCCCTTTCTGCTGATGGGGGGCAAGGGGGAGGCACCCTGCGGGAGGACCCAGGGCTCCCAGCCAGCGAGCCCAGCGCAGCTTGGGGTGGGCGCCGCTCCTCTGGGGCTCTCGCCAGCGCCCCGGGGGGGGGGTGTGCGCACTAGTGCTTCTGACACACGAGCGTGGACGGGCCCTCCCCAAGCACTCCCCAGGGCCAGGGGTCCCCGTTCCAGCAGCTCCTGAGCGCTGAGCAGGTCATGTGTTCTCTTCCTCAGATGGTCCTAGAGCCGCGTGAGGGACGGGATGGTCCCCCTTCCGCAGGTCGGGGGGTGGACCCGAGGTGTTGGCCTGCTTTCCCGAGGCCCGATAGTGAGTGGCAGGGCCCATGGGAATCCAGCTTTTCTGGGGGCCCAGCTCCCAGACGCAGCCCTTGGGGGTGACAGGCTCCGTGGCCTTGGCAGGAGGGAAGAGCTGAGGCCCACGAGCGGCGGTTGTGGGGCCCGGGGGGTCCTCCTGCCCATAACCTGCGCGGACGCGCGGGCCCTGTGTACGTGGGAGCCCGCACTGCGTCCCTCCAGGGCTCAGTGATGCCTCGGGTTGAACGCTCTCGTCCAGGTGTTCGGTCACTACAGAAACTTTTCTTTAGGACTTTTCAAAAGTTCTGTTCTGCTTTGCTACCGGGGCGCTGGAGTACCTAAGGATCCCCAAAGTCAGACTTCATTTCACTGCACCAGGGGAGCTGCGTGGAGTATGGAAATCTGGTTTAAAGGGGAGACTTTATCTTTATTTTTTAAGATTGATTGATTGATTCATGAGAGACCCAGAGAGAGAGAGGCAGGCTCCATGCGGGGAGCCCGACGCGGGACTCGATCCCGGGACCCCGGGGTCACGCCCTGAGCCCAAGGCGGGCGCTCAACCCCTGAGCCACCCAGGCGTCCCTGAAGGGGAGACTTTAAAGTGAAAAATACCATTTTGTTGTGGAAGCAGCCATCCCTTAATGCATCTGTTGGTTGATCTCTGGAGCTTGGGGGGCAGGGGGTTGGGGTGGCGGGTTTAGCCCACAGCGGTACTGAAGAGTTTTTCCGCATTTTTTATTTTTTTAATCTTTTAAATTCTATTATTTATTTGTTTGTTTATTTATTTATTTATTTATTTATTTATTTATTTATTTATTTTTATTGTTTTGTTTTTTCACAGTTTTTAACAGGCTCGTGTCATCTTCCCCTTTTTTCCAGATCACACACCCAGCTGGCTGCATGTCTCAGTTTATCAAGTTCTTTGGAGAACAGATCCTCATCCTTTGGAAATTTGCCTTACTTCGAAAGCGCATTTTGATATTTTCTCCCCCTCCTGTGGGTGTCGTGTGCTATAGAGGTAGGTAGCAGCCACAGCCGGGGTTTCTTTCCTAAGTCTCCTGGAGCAGAAACTGCCCAAGTCTTTGCATTGTTGACCAAGTTCAGAAGACTTTGGGCCGTCCCAGGAGGAGCCTGCGTTTTCAGCCTGGGAGTGCCAGGGGTGGACGTGGATTCTAGAATGTGGGCCCCGGCGGGGCACAAGGTGGCTCAGGGGTGCGGCCGGAGGCTGGTGAGAGCGCGTAGACAGGGAGGGAGGATGGATTCTGATACATTGAGGAGGTACACCTGGCGAACGTTGGCGTGTGATTGGGTCGTAAGGGTTTTTTTTTTTAATTTAAAAAAAATTTTTTTATTGGAGTTCAATTTGCCAACATATAGCTGTAAGGGTTTTTTTTTTTTTTTTTTTTTTTTTTAAGATTTTATTTGTTCATGAGAGAGACAGAGAGAGAGGCAGACACAGGGGAGCCTGATGCGGGACTCGATCCCAGGACCCCATGATCACGCCCTGGGCCCAAGGCAGGCGCTCAGCCACTGAGCCACCCAGGTGTTCCCGGGTTGTGAGGTTCTGATGTGTGCGAGGTGGTGGACGTGGGGTCCAGGATGACCAGGATGGTGGGGCCACCAGGTGGGGGTCGCGGAGGAGCCAGGGGGGAGTGACAGCCTTGACGGCGTGTACGGGGTGAACACCAGGCTCTGGTGGGGTGGGGTCGGGGCCTTGGGGGAAAGCTGCCTGGAGGTAGACTTGAGCACGGCCTGGCCGTGACCTGGGGGGGTGGCGTCCCTCGTCCCTCGGGGAGAGTGCGAGGGAGGGGAGGTGATGCAGCCCCAGGACGGGAAGCAGCAAATGGGGAGGACAGATGCGGACCTGGGGGACCTGGGGGACCTGGGGCGGCCGGGAGGAGGGAGGGAACCGGGCGAGGCGGGAGCTATGAGCAAGGCCTAGGACGAGGGGGGGGCGGGAGACGGGGACCGTGGGAGGCACCTGGGATCGGATGCTGCCGCGAGGCCCGAGAGGCTCGCACCTATCCCCTGGGCCAGAGCCCGCTGGGGACTCAGGGTGGGCCGGCCGAGCGCAGAGGCTCCAGGGCGTCCCTGGAGGGGACTGTCCGGGCGGGGCGGGCAGCGGGCGACGAGGGAGGACAGAGGCCGGCCCGCCCCTCCCGTCCCCAGTGTACTGCTGCTGCTGTCTGGCCAACGTGTCCCTGCCTGGCATCGGGGGCACCATTCCCGAGTCCAAGCCCTTCTTCTACGTGAACGTGGCCGACATCGAGAGCCTGGAGGTAGAGGTGTCCTACGTGGCCTGTGAGTACGGGGCCCGCCCCGCGTCCCCCGGACAGCCCTGCCTCCGGCTCCCCAGGCCCCCCGCTTCCCCCGGGGGTCGGGCTGGTGCCTCCGGGGCGGCTTCCAGGTTCCCATGCCCTGAACTCGGGTGTCCCAGGCACCACCGAGAAGATCTTCGAGGAGAAGCGGGAACTGTATGACGTGTACGTGGACAACCAGAACGTGAGGACGCACCACGACCACCTGCAGCCCCTGCTGAAGATCAACAGCGCCGACCGCGAGAAGTACCGGCGGCTCAACGAGCAGAGGTGGGAGCCGGGGTGCGGGGCGCGGGGAGCGGTGGCCCCGGGAGCCAGGGAGGCCTGCAGGTGGCGGGCCGGGCTCCTGGCAGCTTGTCCTGCTTACTGGGCTGGCGGGGCGTGGGGCTGCCTTCCTGCCAGGCGCTTTGGGGCCTCTGACGCCCAAGGAAGAGCACCGCGAGCACGGCCTTGACCGCGGGCTGCTCCCCGGGCTTGCTCCATGGGCTGCTCCCCGGGCTCCCTCCCTGGTTCTGCTCCCGGGTCCTGCTCCAGGCCTTGCTCCCCGGGCTTCCTCCCTGGGCCTGCTCCCCGGGCTGCTCCCCAGGCTTGCTCCAGGCCTTGCTCCAGGCCTTGCTCCAGGGGCTTCCTCCCCGGGCCTGCTCCCCTAACTCTCAGTAATGTGGCTGTGCTGTGGAATAAATGATATCATTTGCCATCAGCAGCGAAAAAAGTAACATCATCACCTGATTGCTGGGCAGTTAAGCACGATGGCCACTTGCCTGGGGTCACACAGGGCCTGGCCCGTGGGAGGGCCTCCGCGCCCTGTGCATTCCTTTTCTGTCCGCCTCTCCCTGCGCGAGGGCTGGTGGGGTGCTGGGGATGCTCCTCCCGGCAGGGGGCCCAGCAGGTGCCCGGCCACCACCTGGCCGGGGGGGGGGGGGGGGGGGGGGGGGGGGGGGGGGTCCTGCAGCGGCACCAGAGCGTGATGGGGCCTCCTCCACCACAGGCAGATGCTGCTGTACTCCCAGGAGGTGGAAGAAGACTACAACCCGTGCGAGGAGGACCTCTTTGTGCTGTAAGTCAGCCCGGGCCCCAGCCCCTCGGGCCTCCAGCCCTCCCCCGTCACCCGCGGCAGCCCGGGGACACTGAGCGGGACCCCGTACGGAGTCCACCAGGAGCCCTGAGATGCCGCTGGGGGCCACCAGAGGAGTTGAGGGAAGCAGCAGAGGTTAAGAGCACCAGGAGCCCTGTTTCTTCCCGTTGAGCATTACCTCCGACGTCCGCTGTGTGGACGCGTGTGTCCTTCGGGCCTCAAGGGCTCGGCCTCCATTGCCCCGTGCAAGTCAAGCCCTTCCTTGCATCCAGTGTTACGGGTTAAATCAGACATTTTCACTTTTGAACCTAGCGAGAGGCGGAGGTCAGGGCAGGAGCCGTGGTCCCGACACCTCGGGGTGTCGCTCTCCTTTCCGAGCAGGAGCAGCCGTGTGAAGCGGCGCCAGCAGGGAGGGCAGGGCCGGACTCGAAGCAGAAATGGGTCCTCCAGCTTCTGGGGTCCACCAGCTTCCTGGGGGGTGCTCCGTCGCCGTGTCCTGGGTGGGGGCCGGGAAGGGCACCTGCAGCTCCAACTGCGGGGGACTCAGGGGTCGGAAACTAAAGGTTGACATTTCGACAAAAGCGTGACACTCTCCAAGTGCACTCGCCCGTGCCTACCCGGTGTTGACGGGGAACAGAGAGCCCACGGCCTGGGCAAGGTCTGACACCCCCCACTGTCTCTGAAATTCCTGGGCATTTAGAGCTGCTTCGGGCACTGGGTGTCTTTGCTGCGACTGAGCCCTGTGGAGTATGGCTAAAAAGTTGAGAGACTGTTCATGCCTTTCCTCAATATGACGCTTCTGTAGTACCTACTGTAAATTAAATCATGTTCTGTGTATCATCTGTCCCCCAACCACCACCAAAAAAAAAAAAAAAAAAAGACTAATCAAAGGAAAACAAATACCCAAGGATAATGGGAATCTTTGGTAGTATTGGTGGCCACAGCTAGGCTTAGGCTTCTGTGTCCTCGTTGACCCCTCCCTCCTAGCCCCGCTGGCTGAGGAGTGTCCCCGTGCCTGCCCCTGCTCCCTGGGTTCCACTGTGGTGGCTCAGGCTGGGGGCAGTTGGCTTCAGGGCCCTGCTCTGTCCCCACGAAGGCTCGCCCCTGCTGCTGGCTCCAGTGGCCTGGCCGTGACTCTGAAGGTGAATTTTAGTTTCTCATATTAAGTCTTGACGTCAGAGAACTACATTATCAGGGTTGGATTTGGGGGGGGTTTCTTGGTTTTGTTTTTTCTTTCTCTTCCCTTATGACTAAGAAATGTAGGAACACCGCGAATGGGAACATGGTACGTATAGTAACCTTAACGCAGGAAGGCTGGTCTTTGGCAGGCAGGCCGTTGCTCGTTCAGAGACTTTGCTAATCGTGCTTGATTAATGTCCATAGTTTTGCTAAACTGGGTATCAGTTTAATAACCCTTGAACTTTGATCCTATTTCCTTATTTTCAGAAAGGTTTCTGGTTTTGAAACCATTTGAAAGCATATTAAAGGGATGTAGTTTTGGTTTTTTGTGTGTGGATTATTTGGTGACTTTTTTCTTTTCTGCCCTCTGGCACCCCGCCTCCCCTTCCCTGTGTCTTGTGAATGCAGGTTTTTCCTCGAGCAAAACAACCGGATATTTCAGACTTTGTTGGAGGTGTCTGCCAGTCAAGATAAAACTCTGACCGCTGAGCATGCCCGCGGCATGGGTCTAGACCCCCAAGGAGACCGGAGCTTTCTGATGGACCTGCTGGAGGCCTATGGCATCGACGTCATGTTGGTCATTGACAACCCCTGTTGCCCGTAGGAAGAGTGAGCCGAGGCTGGTGAGCCGCTCTCACCTGGGGATTTCACACTGGGCCCCAGAAGAACTCATTTTTTATTAAGTTGATGCAAAGGATTATGGTTTATACTTTCCAACAAATGTGATTTTTGCAATCTCCTTTCGTCCCTTCCTCCCTAGTGGTGAGATGAGACTACCTTGGTTTTGTGTCCTGCTTTGGTACGATGTTGGAATCTACCACTTTCTCCCAGAACTGCCGCCTGGTTTGGTTGTCAGAGCCGAGTTTTTCCTCTCCATATTGAGTGACTTGAGGGAACGTGGTGGAGGCCATATATCACTAGGAGCAGGCCGAGCTCTGGAAATACTGGGTGGACTGTTGAGAAAGTCTCTGATTTTCCATCCCTTGAGGTACTCGAGACTGAGAGAACTGTCCGGAGTGGCCTTGGATGTGCACCTCCTGAAGGTGGAAGCTAGACCTCCTGACCCTTCAGGGTTTTTATCCGTTCTGGGAGTCCAGTGTTGAGGTCAGATCTCTTCTCCTGTTCAGTAGGGCAGATCTGCGTCTTCTCTGTTCATGTGAGTAGAGCCCTCGAAGAGGAACAAAAGGATGTTTCTCTCACTAAATGTGAACCTCTCTCGGCACAGAATGACAGGAAGAGGCTTCTCTTACCAGCCAGCTGGAAACTAAAATTGTAGAATGAAGCCTTGAGAGTTTCCTCAGAGTAGATTAGCGGCCACTCAGTGTGATACTCCTCCTCTCTCCAAATCCCCCTCCTCTAGGGATGGCCCTGGACCTTGCAAGCAAATTCACTTTACCGTTTAGTTTCCTTTAAGGGCTAACTATTCTCTTGGAAGTAATTTAGGTATTTTTAAAGAGTAACGTTGGTTGCCACCAAAGGTGTAGAGCAGTTGGGGTTCAAACAGGATGGAGAAGATGTTTCTCCACCCGAGAATGTGTCCTCCGGACACGTTGCTAGCAGGGCTTCTGGATCAAAAGGGATTCAGTGGATGCCGTAATCGAGCAAGGATCTGAGCTGGTTACTCAAGAGTTTAGAGCAAGACTCTACCAATTTGGAGGCTTCACAAGTTTCTCTTGGGCAGAGATGACATTCCCTGAGCTCAGTAATTGGGGCCAGAGACTAACACATTTGTCAGCGAATTTGACAGTGCCTTCACCTAGGGAAGTGGTTGGAATCCCTGAGGGTCAGGGGGAGTCTGCCCGTATTCCCCTCACACGTTTTGGTCTGGGACGACTCCCGTGGGGCCCTGCTGCTGCTTCTCTTCTGGGCATTCCAGGGGTGCCAACTTAGAGGAGATGGTAGTTGTTTGAAGCCGGCTTTCGCACGCAGAGCTTAGGTCTTTTGGGACAGAGTTTCCAATTTTGACTCGGGCTCCTGGGTTACTGGTGACAATTTGTTCCCTTTCGACCTTCTTGCCTGGCTGTGTCGTTGGCCTCGCCACATATCCATGTCTGTGACCGGGTTCCAGCCACGCAAAGAAATAACTTTCGGATGGATGGATCACATGTCCTATCTCAAGACTAGCTTTTTAGGGTTCACTGCTTTATTCAGAAATATTTCACTGTAGCTCCTTGATGCAGGATTCAAGACTAAAGAAATTCACATGTAAAAAATGCAAACGCATATTGGTTCATCAAAGTAACCTCTTTTATGTAAATATATAGGGAAGTTCGGGCATTGACACATAAACTGTACAACTACTACACTTCTCTCCTCTGCAGTGTGGGTTTACCATCGTGTCGGTAATACATGTGTTTACATAAGAAGCTTCGCCACCTCTTTCCTTGAAGAGCAATGTTGTCTGGTCTCTGGGGAAGGAGCGGCCTTTCTGACCTGGGTCATGGCAGTGCTGTCTGAAGGCTCAAGGTTTGCGTAGTTAGGGGCTGGTCTGCCCGAAGCAGGGGTAGGGGTGGCGGGAAGGGTCACGTTCTCTCGGTGGACATAGGTCCTCTTCCTCAGGACTTGAGGGCGTTGTTGGTTGTTGGAAGGGGACTTCTGCGCCCGTGCCCTTCTGCACGTGAATGCCCGTGTGTGTGGAATTGCAACTCCAAGTTCACAGGTGCTCATGTAAAGGTCATAAGGTGAAAGCGAGGTTCCAGTATTTTCCTTTGAATGCTGGGTGGGGCTCCAGGCTCCTTTCAGCTCGTGGCTCTAACAGGCTGGCGGCCACGTGGCCTCCTGTGCGGTCCCCTCGCATTCGTGCAGAGCAGGGGGCGTGTGGAGGGGAGTGTGCAGGTGAGCCTGGGCTCCGCCGACCCCCACACAGAACTCCCCCACCCACCCTGTAGCCCTTTTCAGAGAGAACTCAAGGATTCAGTCCTTCCCCTGCCAGCTTCCTTAGGGGCCGGAAATCCAGCATGCCCCCCGGCTCTGTACTCCCCTTTGTCACTGTCCACCCTCCCCTGAGTATTTCTTGCCTGGATTGTGATATGGAGCCTCCAGTTTCTGAGCTCACCTTTCGAAGACTGACTTTGGACCTGACTCTGCTCCCATCCCTCTCCTCCCCGCCAGTACGTCCAGGTTGCAGCTGCACCCGGCATCATTTGCTGCCCCTTCGCTAAGAGGGGAACTGGTGCAAGGTATACCTGGAAGGACTCCTGCAGTAACAGCAGAAGCTAGAAGCCACACAGACCTGCTTTCGAGTCCTTGTTGAAAGATTTCCTTAAAACCTTTCTACTTCTGTTCAGAAGACCTGGGCCAGCATCTTCGTTCCTGCCTTGTAGGGTCCATCAGGTCTGGAGCAGCAGGGATGATTACCGCAGACTCCTGAAGCAGGGCTGGGAGCCTGGGGCCGGGGAGCGACCCTCCTGGACTGTTGAACCTCATCCCCTCCCCTGCCTCAGCTGGCTTGGCCCTTCCAAGAATTTGAAGCCTGATCTGATGCCAAGCTGTGAGCCACATGCTCCTCTGGAAACACTGCTGACCTGAGACACCTGGGCTGCTCTCATTCCTGAATCAAGTCATCAGAGAAAAGCCAGGTGGAAGGATTCCCAATGGGGCCAAGCAAGAATCCGGGCCTGGGGTTTATTGAAGTCCAGCAAATTGCGACTAAGGCCTATTAAAGTGGTTTTTTTTTTTTTCAGTTCTGCAGGCTTGGCAGACGCTAATATTCAGCCTTGGAGAAAATGTCCAGCTGTGCTCAGGCTTAGGATTCTTTCTTCAGGAAGAGTCAGAAATGGTAGGATTTATCTCCTACGAGAGCCAAAAGTATGGGCCAATTTGTTTAGAATTAGCTAGGGCTTTAATGAGGCATGGAGCAGGCCCTAGGCCTGGGGTGGATCCGTTCCGGTGTGCCCCCCGGGGCCACGCACCGTCCTCAGGACTGCCATGGATTGGAAGGCACTGGCTGTCCAGCATGGCAGCTTCCTCCGTTTGGCCAGGGAATGGGTGCCGAATTCATTGATAATGATAGAAATAAATTAGCCCAGAACTTGCATCTGTAACGTACCTTGTTTTGTTCCACGTGAAAATCAAGATGAGAATTTTAAGTATAGCACAGGGCACAGGCCGTTCTAAATGCCACCCGTGTGGACTGACGTATCCGCGTAACCACCTGGCATTTTAGCTAGAAGACAAAGGTAAAGATAAATTAAATCCTAGCTGAGTCGGGTGTTTTTCATTCTGGTGGCTAGGAGGATAAACTTGCTATTTGTCTTGATACACTGAAAGCCCTTCCAACGCAATAAAAAGATGAGATGATTCACCTTTAAACTGAGGCCTTTCGGGAACCTTCTGTAAAGGGCAGTCATGAATTAAACTTTTAATGGGAGGACAACAACCTTCTGGGAAGAGGCAGGGACCTCAGGGAACTTTTTTTTCCCCCTCCTTTTTTTTTTCTAAAACCGTATAGCCCAGGGAATGGTTGAGACGCTTTCTCCAAGTCCCCATATGGATCACACTTGCAGAGATGAGGGAGGAGGAGCTGAAAAAATTAAAAGGCCACAGTCAGCTTGATAGTGAACTTTGCTCCGTAGGATATTGGTTCTGAAATAGGCAAGAAAGGCAACCCGAGACCAACGCATCACGCAGGGGCTTCCGCCTCGCCGTCTGGTTCCTTGCCAGCAGGCCGGGAACCTGTGAGGTCCAGCCCGAGGATCTTCCCACCGCCCTTCTCAGCCCTGCTTCAGGCCCTGTGGTGAGGCTCCTGCGAATGCGACCTGTCCCTTCTCATTCCAGGAAAACCCTTTTCTGATTCAGGTAGGGGACGGCGAGGAGTCCGGAGCTCCTCTTACTCCTGAGCCGTGGATTTTTTAGTGTTCCGTTGTGAGATGAATATACCTCTGTTCCCAGGAGCTGCTAAGAGTGTTGGGAGAAAGGCCAACTGTGAATTAAGTTAATGTTTTTCTTATAAGAAATGGGAGTTTATTTTTCTATCGATACTACTGTGTGATGGAGTGTGCAGATGTTGAGATGGAAGGACATTTCAAAACTATAATCCTTGAAGAAATGCCAAGTTGTGTAATCTGGAAGCAACCGAGACTCCATAGAAAAGTTTTGTTTTCGAGTGTGAATAAGGAGACGGTGCTGCGGTCTTAACCGCACTCTCTAGGAGATGAACGTGACGGTCCTGAGGCGGATGACACAGTCCCTGACCTTAGGGAAAATTCCCGTACAAAGCGTGTAAACGTGATAATGCTGATTAGTGAGCTGCTTACTGGAGCGGTGTGATTTTATAACCTGGCACTTTAATTCTTTTCTGGAGCTGGAATACAGGGGCAGTTGGATGAAACTGCACATTTAGAAAGGAAGTAAGAGTTTTTCTAGTGCTTATAAATGATAATAGAGAAATAAGGCCCTCTTTATTCTAGAAGCTCAGCATCCCATGGCCTGTTAGTGGTAACATAGCCTAAATTCAGAAAATTTATTTACTTACCATGGTAGAAGGATGGGCGTGAATTACGTTTGTTGTAGAATGCCGGTTTACTAACGATACATTTACTCTGCTGAGGACAGTTGGGGGACACGGGTAGGTTAGGGCCTTAGAAATTAGCCTGGGATGATCCACAACGGTGGTCACTGAATTAGCTGGTAGCAAATATAGTTCATTGACGTTGGAGTGAAAACTTCCTTTGGCCAAATCAAGAGAAGATAAAAGTCGACAAAAATATTTAAGGCAGCATTAGGAATAGTTTGTGTAGAGTGCCCACAAAGACCAGACTTACAGAGGGTGTCGATTCTGTGCTTTTGGACAGACTGGGTAGGAGACTCTAGGGGTCAGAGTAGAGGAAAGCAAAATTAACCTCTTATTTACCCAAGCTTGTTGTCTAAATTTTTTTTTATAGGTCTGGGAAATAAACCTTTTCTGAAAAAGGAATAGTTTGTAGGCTTGGAAAAATGGTTTCCTATTTTTCCCCCGTTAGGATCAGCATAGCCGCCCCCGTCGCCTTAAGTGTCAAATCCCTATTTTGATTAACACCCCAGCATAAGAGTTATAGCAATAAGAGACACTGAATCTATTTTTGTTTAAATTCTTTACCTCATAGTATGAAATTAATTAGTAAGACAGTTGATAAATTTTACCCTGAATACTAGTGCATATAGGTATGTTGTTCCGTTTTGAATGGTAATGATTTTAATGGCCTAAAGAAAGCTGGGGTTAATCCTGGAGCTAGGAGTAAATGTTTAATGGATTTTGTTCTGTGGTACAAATAACATCCGTGTATATCATATCTGTATATATCTGAACCAAGCTGTGTGCAGAGGTTGATATAACTATATTTACAGAATACAATTTTTACAATTAAAATTCACATTTTAACATGAACATGTGTGTGCAGTGGTCTTTCACCAGTCTGAGAAGTGTGCTTTATGGGAGGAAGGAGAGGGTGGCCCCATGTTGGAGCACAAACAACAGAGCGACCTAGCGAGTCTGGGACCTGCCCTCCTACAGGCCATGGTCTGTCTGCATAAACCACCTCGAGGTAATGGGAACCAGAGCTCGGAGTAACCGTGCCATCCAGGATGGCCGGGACTGTGCACACAGCCACACATGGAAGTTTCATTTCATTTTTAACTTTTTGGGCAGTTCTTTTAGGGCAGTACAGGGGTAAATTCCTACCGTCATGGGCTCTTGTGTTCAAAGCCAGGTTCCTCCTTTCCCAGGTACGTGACTGACCATATGATATCACCTTCCTAGGGCTGGGGTGAGAGCTGAACTCTTGCTTCTGTAAAGAAAGCACTGGCATATGGTGACTACAGCTGTGTGCACAAGCCAGCCCTGGTGCTAAGCAAACAGCTCTCATGCTAGAAAACATCTGCTGGGTTTTTATTAGAAATAATCTTAGCTTTTGAGTAAAGCCTTCCTAAAGTCTTGTGCATCCAGGAGGTGGGGGACTCAGGGTGTCCTCGACCCCTCCGCAGTCCCAGCCTGGCCAACAAGGTGCTCTCAGAGCTGCACTGCTGGGTGTCCTTCATGCGGATGGTGTGCGCCAGGACTGTGCCAAGGACAAGGCCATAAACAATATGGAAACCATGTTCTTGCAGGAAATAGCTTGAATCAAGAAAGAATTCCCACCGGGGATTAGATTTCAAAAGGAATTAAAAATATTAATCTATTAAACATCACTGGACGGCTCAGAATCGCTAAGAAAACCCACATGCTGGTAGCCAGCCAATCACCGAGGAAGAGAGCCAGCTTCCGCGCTGGTCCTTTACATTCTATCCAAAACCCAAGATGGTTTAGGACCCTCCTGGCTCCTACAGAAACTTTCCCTCCTCCCCTCTGTGGGTGCTCCTTCTACTGCAGGTTGGAACCCACCTACTTTTGGTGGGCAAAGCACAGCTTTTGACCCCACTCTGAAGAATATAGAGCTTAACAGGTAAGCCTTGTTTTTTGTGATCTTCCTTCATTGGCCTTTTGTAGCTGCTTCATAATGCTTTCAAGCATTGGTCTTCACTCTCCAAGGGATTCACGGGCACAGGGAGACGGACTGTCCTAAAACCCATCTGCCTGGGGATGAGCCTGTGGCCAAGGCATCGCTTCCTACTTACCCCCTTTATCCCCCACGCTTCCTCTTTATGAAAAGGTGCACATCTCCTCGCTTCCAGGCATTGCTGCTGGAGTATAGAACCCTCAGGGGCACCAAACCCTGGAAAATCCTGACGGTAGTAGTAAAAGTGAATGGTTATAAAGCCCGGCTTACAAATCATTAGCGAATCAGGTAGTTTCTGGCTCTCTTGCTTTCAACAAACTAAAAGAAGATATAATTAAGCTGTTACTGTGGTAGATTACTAACGTTTGATCTGGAATTCCAAAGGAATTCAAAGAAGACATTAGAATTCTTTGTCGTCTAATTTAGGGGTTTAGAACTATCAGAAACGCAACAAGGAATATAAATGACGTTGAGTCCTGTTCTCAGCTGTAAACAATGTGTTCTTGAACTCATTAAAGAGCATTCTAATAAATGTTAATTTTTAATTATCAAAAATTGGCAGTATTGTTTATCAGTTGTATTTCAGTAATTACCTCAGTACAGGATTAACTTATAAATGGAAATAATTTTTTAGTGTTATATTTTTTTGTTGGCAAGAAAATAAGGCAAGTGATAAAATTTCAGGCATGAAAATAGATCACATTGTGATAGCATTCTTTGCTGAAAGTGGAATGGAAATACCAAAGAACCTATTTGTTTATTTTTGTAAATGGAGGATAAGTGTCAAATTTCTATACATTTAAATTGAACCAAGTATGTTTAAAAGAGTGATATAACAGTTTTATTTTAAAATAATATTTACATGACACAAGGAAAGACATACTTTGGCAACATCTTATGTTGATATCTAGAAAGTGAGGGGATACATGATCTTTCAAAATCCTTTTCGGGGGGGGGGTGCATGAGCAGAAGAGGGAGTGGTATGCTGTACAACACTGGCAGGTGACGCTGGGGGCACCTCCTGGAGTAGAAGCACCTGGGGGAGGGTGCCTGCTTTTATTTTTTCTTTTAGAAATGGAGATTCCTGGGCCCTGTCCCCAGGCCGAGTGACTAGGTTTGGGGTGAACCCCAAGTCCGTTGTCAACATGCACCCAGGTGCTTCTCATGCAAACCAATACTTAAGCGCTACTTTAAAAAATAATACAAACTGGCCTTTTATAGTTTTTCAGCCCGGGCTGAAGACGGAAACGCCGCGCGTGTCTTTAGGATGGAGGGTGAACTGCCAACAAGCTAAATTTGCGTCCGAGCCCAGAAAGTCACTGCACCAATGGGGAAGCCTGGAAAGAGGACGGAGGTGCGGAGGGCGGGCAAGGCGCTGAAGTCCCAGGAGGGCGCAGGGACAAAACCGGGGTGAGGCCGGGGAGGCCCTCTCGCAGCCAAGGGCATGGGGGCCTCTCCCAGACCTGCCTGGAAAACCACGGTAGACGAGGGGTGAGGGTGACGGCGGAGGCTGCACATGCTCTGGGGGGGCTGTGGGGGGGAGTACTTGCCACGGAGGTCCCCTGGGATCCTGCGACAACGGCAGACAGGGCAGGCTGCGCCTGCTGGTCCCACCGAGGCCTAAAGTGCAGGGTGGGGGCGGCCAGCTCACTGGGCCGCGCCAGGCAGCACCTGTTCCCTCTTCCTCGGGTCGCAGAAGAACTGCAGCTTCCGGGGGAGCAGCTTCACCTCCACCGGCATCGCCTCATACTCCTCGCTGTCGATGCTGAAAGAGCCCCCTGTTCCCTGTGGAGGAGAGGGGAGTGGACCACTCACTCCAGCCATGGGCTGCCGCGGTCCTGCCCCTGGACAACCCCCTCCTCCTCAGGCCTGATCCTGCTGCTCTTTTTTTTTTTTAAAGTCTGGTGCTGCTTCTGCAACTAATCCCAATTCTCCCATCCTTTTTTTTTTTTTTTTTTTTTGCGGGGGGCAGGGGGCTTCTATCACCTCCCAGAATATTCTGGGATTTGAGAAAGGCTAGAATTTAAAAATATTTACTAAATGACAGGGGTCCTCCCACGTCTTTCAGGAACATATGATGTTCTAGGACCTTCTGAGCCCTTCTCTTAGGAAAGCCATGATGTCCACTCACTTATTTTCATGGTTCTTCTTTAGGACTTGCATAGTAGCTTGATACCTCAAATATGGCAACATTAATGGTACAGACTCTATAAAACCTTCTGTAATTCATGCATTTAGTTCAACATTTGCTATGTTCAAACTACGGTGCCACCCACTGTGGGGGAGAGCTTCCGTTTTACCTACAATCCTTTCTGAATACCTTGGATAATGGCCCCAAGTCTGCAGAAGCCGTCTGTGGCAGCTCTTTCCTGAGGCAGGGCGCACAGAATAACTATATAATTTAATTTAGATTATACTCCTAACATTTTCCCCACTTATATAGGTTATTCTAAGTGTGGCATTTCATAATACAGAAAACTCAATGCCATCCCCAAGATTTTCCAGATCCTTTATAAAAAAGGAAAAAGTGAATGTAGGATCCACTGAGTACCTGCCAACTAGAGAATTCCCTGTGTCATAACATAGCAACCTCTATGTAATGTACATTCAGAAAAATAGAGGCTCAGGAGATGTAAAGATCACTTTAGAGAATCGTGGCTTAAAAACACTTGAAATCTTCAGGAGTCCCCTGCTTAGCCCCTGACTCAGAAGGGGGTCCTCTCATCTTTTCAAGTATTCCTCACCATCACCCAGAGCCTGGCCGAGGGCGCGGCCCATACCGGGCAACCAAATGAGGGTCTGTTCCTCAAAAGGAAGATGGACCAAGAAAGAACCTGAAGCTGTGGGACGGGAACCCCTGCTCACCTCAGGAAGCAGCAAAGTGCACTGGCTGGCCTGGAGACACTCGGTGCCGGCCGCACGCAGCTCGGGGTCCCTCACCTTTTTGCTTCTGTGGGTACAGGAAAAAGCACATTTGGACACCAAGGCTGGCAACTCATTCAATTGCAAGAGCACAGCAAGTTCTTTTGTTAGATTAAATAGACGAGCTCATGCTATGCTGAACCATGGTGTTCCGTGACTAATTTTCCCACAATGATGCTTGCTTAGCAGTGTGACATATTTTAGATTGAGAAGGAAGGTTAACTTGCTGTAGAGAACTGTGGATGAAGTGAAGACAGAGTGATTCTGTACCTAACCCTTGGGCTATTAAAAAACCCGAAATTTAAACATTAGAATGAAATGAAAAATACTTTTAGTAGTTTTAGAAAAAGTACTAAACTTGTCTTATTTGGCACTTGTAAGTGTATCATTACTTGAAGGAGAAAACATTTTTTTTATTCTACACATTTCTTTTATGCATGTATATGAATAACCGATTCCTGATGATTCTATTCCTATTAACAGTCTGCTTAGCATAGTACTATCTTTACCTTGGAGTGAAAACTATCAGACTGTCCATACACACACACACACACTCACACATACTCCCTCCACCTCACGCACATATACCCATGAGAGCTGGTTGTGTCAGTGGAAAGAGTAAAAGTTAATCCAAGTCAGTTAGTCCATTCTTTATCATTAAATGATAACATTAGTCTTTAGTATATGAAGCTTCAGAGTTTTCTAGAGCAACCTCACAATGTTCTATTCCAATACCCAGAGGAAACAGGCGTTACCTAATCTCACTTCCTATTTGAGACCAAAGGAAACCATGTTCCTGCTGCTGAAGATGATGATTGCAATGATGCGGAACATAATGACTTCACCTACATTAAGCAATATAATCGGTTTTTCTTTCTATTTTCAGCTGTCAGTACTATGAAGGAGATTTGAGTACACTGGCCTGGGGGAAGGGGAGAGGCACACTCTCAATTGAGATTGTGTGTGGCTTCTGGACACTCTCTAGGAGACAGAAAGGCTTTTCCTTTCTTCCTTCTACGACAGATACAATAAGGGAAGCAAAGCCTGCAGAATGGGCTAGTCAGCATCTGAAGAATTTGTACCAAAGGCAAAAATACCACAAACCAAAGAAAGACATTTCACTGCCGGGTTCTGGCGCAGATAATGGGGTAGCCATGGAGACCGGGCTGCTCTAGCAGCAATGTCTACTCCTTAGATGAGCACAAGAGGGAGCTCTGAGACAAAGCACCAAAAAAGAAAAAAAAAAATCTCCTAGCAGATTACCAGTTGGCATGGCAACACGTGGGCTCCTAGGATGTGCTGAAGCTGGCTGGGAGGGTTTAGAGCATTCGTAACCAATGAAACTCTGGCAGAGGTCAGGCTTAAGAAATCAGGACTGGAGGATATTTTCTAGTGAAAAAGGAGAAAAGCCTGGAGATTGTCCAAGGTACTCAATACCTTTTCAGGTTTTCCATTACTTCCCTGGAAGCAGGACAAGGTGGACTGGCATGAATTGTAACTGATATAGCGAAATGCTTCACCACTGTGAAAAAGACTTTCCCATACAGCCTCTTGTTTGAGACTCCAAAACAATCCTGAAGTAGTTAGATGTGATTATATATTCGTTTCCATACACAGAGAAGGGCCCACGAAGTTAAAGGGTTTGTCCAAGTCATGAGGCCAGGACGTAGCAGAATCAAGATCTGTAGCCAGCAACTTTGACCCTGAAGGAAGTTCTGGACACTGTGCCATGCTACACTGAATCCTTCATCTCACTGGAATGGCAGACTGTCCCCACACTCTGACTTTCCTAAAATGAACAGGGAAGTCCAGAGTAGGAGAAGTGCGTTCTCTGTGTCAACCCAAATACTCGAAAGAGGCTATACTGTCCCCAAATCACGTAAGTCCTAAGTTGGGTCTCCATCTTAGACTTCATGAGGACCCTGAATAGTATGTGCTGGAATACCAACTACTTAACCAGCATTTCCTAAATCCCCAGCCCACTTACCCTATAGTTATGAAGTCTCCTTTGCTGACAGTGTCGGGTTCAATGCAGATGTTCATGAAGTCTTCTTTGCTCTAGAAGGTCAGGAAGACTAACATTAATACTCTACATTTTTGCTAATGCAACCTGTTGTCCGTTAGCCTCAGGGGTTCATATTTTGAAGCTGTTTATTATACAGAGACTTTCACTTTTAATAACTTAATCCTGAATATATTTCCTTTTTTTATTATAAATATATGAAGAGCCTTATTGACGTATCATTTACATGCCATGAAATGCATCACTGCTTGCTTGTTTGGTTGGCTGGTTTTTGCTACCCAGATAAGCTAAACAAAAACTCATGTTTGTCAGAACTCAGAGTAAGAGGTCTGTGCCATTCTACCACTAATCATCACAGCTGTTGTGGTCTCTAGGGTTCCCTCCCTGAGGTCAGGCCTCAGTCCGCCTACCCCAGCGAGCCTCCATCCTCACTATACATCAGCATTACAGCACACCTGATGGAGCAGCTTCTTGGCATGCAGAGCCCAAGGATGTGCTGGGTTTTTTGTATTTTTAAAGATTGATTTGAGAGAGAGAGTGATCAAAAGCGAAGGGAGGGGCAGAGGAGAATCTTCAAGCAGACTCCTCCCTGAGCTCAGAGCCTGACATGAGGCTCGATCTCAGGACTCACGAGATCAAGACCTGAGCCAAAACTAAGAGTCGGACACTTAACCGACAGAGTCCCCCAGGTACCCGCCAAGTATGTGTTTTCAAATGTTCTTTTTGTTTTGTTTTTTGTTTTGTTTTCAAATGTACTACACGCAGTTTTGATATGCAACCAGAGTTGAAGAGCAGCAATCCGTTTCTGCCATGGTAGTATTTTAAATTTTTTCATTACCGACCACCAAAAGCTCTAGATGAACGAAGCTATGAGGAAGTGGCTATAAAACCAGACTGGGTTCTTGGAGCAGTTCCCTGCCAGTCAGTGGCTAGCAATACAAAGCTGGCCCTCTATAAATCCGAACCAATACTTCTGTGTCTACTTCAATACAGGTTTTGTTTCTTTTTGGACAGGTTCAAAATCTGTAGCCCCAGGATAATCCATGAGCTGCTGAAAGCAGACAGCCTTTGCCTAAGATTAAAGAGCACTACCAAAACACAACTTTCTCTTTCAACCAGGAATTGCAGAACACAGAGGGAATGATTTTGCTCTAAGTTCACCTTTTATTCAACAACTGAGTGTCAACTACATCAACTCTCCTAGGTGCTTATGTTACATCAACGAACGAAAAAAAGTATTTCTGCTTATAAAAAATTTATCTACTGGGGAAAGTGGAGGGAATACAAAAAAAAATTAAAATCTAACCATAATAAGTTATAAAATATATTAGAAGCATGTTAGAGTGTATCAGTATAAAAACGATAGATTATACTAGAAGTATATTAGAAGTATATAAAAAAGTATATTAGAAATATATTAGAATTTATTAGAAAAACAAGAGAAAAGAACACAAGAAACACGAGATGGTATGGGTGGTAGGGGTGATTATTTTAAAGAGGGGTCCAAGGGAACCTCATTGAGAAACTAAGCTCTGAGCAGGCACCTGAAGGAGGTGAGGGAATTAGCAATGTGCATGTCCAGGGCTGCGGTTCCCAAACTTTAGCAAGTATCACCTGGAGGGCTTGTTAAAACTCAGACCCTGGCCCCATTCTCAGTTTATGGTTCAGGAGATCTAGGGTGAGGCCCAAGGACATCCAGTTCTAACAAGTTCCCCAAGACTATCCTTTGAGAACCACCAGTGTAGGGAAGAGCGATCCACACAAGGGAACTGCCAGGGCAGGGACCCTACAGTGGAAACATGCCTGACGTGTGAAAGTACAGTCAGGAAACCAGTGTGGCTGGAGCAGAGCGAGAAAAAGGGACAACAGGAGCTGAAGTCACAGAAGAGGGGAGGCCAGGGCCCTAAGGTCTGATGGCCATTATAAGGCTCTTAGGCTGAGTGGAAGGAGGAGCCATTTGGAACCTTCTACGCAGAGGAACAGGATCTGGCTTCATCTCAATAGGACCTTTCTGGATGCTGTACTTAGAGGAGAATGAAGGGGGGGGGGCGTAAAGGAGCCACTCAGGAACCCACTGGAATCACCCAAGCAAAAGGCAATGGTGGCTTGGAGCAGTTAGCAGGGGAGGTGGTGTTAAGCGCTGGCATTATTTAGAAGGTGAAGCCACCAACCAGCACTTCCACCAAGATCAGATGTGAGGGGAAAGAGGGTGGATCTGAGAGGTTTGGCCTGAGGGACTGAAAGCCTGGAATTCCACTCAGCAGCAGTGGGGAGCCTGGATGGAGTACTGCCACTGCCATCAAGGCAGGCAAGGGAAGAACAGAAGCTCAGTTCTGGACCCGCAAAGATTCCAAGGTATACTAGCCAGCTAAGAGGGGAAGTGAAGTAGTTATACATGTGAGTTATAATATATGTCTAGGATTTGTTTTTTGCAAATAGTGCACATGCAAAAATCAATGTTAGATGACCCTGACAGATTCACATGAGAAGACTATCTTGATAGATGCTGGAAAGGGACTTGATAAAATTAAATATGCAGTCATGATAAAAACTCTTAGCAAAATTAGGAATAAAAGGCAACTTCCTTAATCTTATAAAGAGTATCTATTAAAAAAAATCCCATCAATCTCAAGAACGTAGCAATGAAACCTTTCTGTCTACATCAGGCTTCAGATGACACTGACTACCATTACTTCTATTGAGCACTGTACTGAGGTCCTAGCCACAGCAGGAAGGTAAGAGAAAGGATTAGCAGGCCCCAGTATTTGAAAGGAAAAACAAAACTTGCGCCATTTGCATTTGTTAGGACTCAATCTATATAAAACCCAAAGGAATCCATTAGTAAAACTGAGTAAGAATTTAGTTATAAAGCTGTTGATTCGGTATCAATATTTAAAAAGTCAATTACATGTCCATCTAAATCTAATATTTAAAAAAGAAATTTTAAGGGATACTGTCTAAAACAGCACCAAAAATTAAGATGACCAGGAATATATCCAGCAAAAGACAAAATGTGAGAACTATAAACTTCATTGAAAGGCATTACAAGCCTAAGAGCTCTGCTATGTTCATACCACAGAAGAGTCAATATTATAGAAGTGTCATTTCTCTTCAAATTGATCTACGGGTTCAATGTAATTCTGATCAATATAACAGATTTTTATGTGGGACTTAATAAAATAAAACTTTTAAGGGATTTATTGAGGTCAAAGAGTCAAGAATAGCCAAGAGACTCTTTAAGAAGAAAAACATAGAGGGATTTATTATAAAATGATAATTAAAAAAAAAGCACCGTACTAATACAGGTTTAGAAAAACAGAGCAACTGAATCGAGAACCTACAAATACATCCATGCACATCTGCTCCCGCAGTATAAAAGGCTTTACAGCAGATGGGGGCGGGGGGGTGGAGGATGTTTGGTAAATAAATGGTGCTTGGACAACAGGCTTTCTATGGGCAAAGATTACAAAATTAGAGCCTTACCTCCATCATTCACAGAACTCAATTATAGGTGAAAGTGTTTCTTTTTAAAATAAAAATAGAATCATGTGATGCATATCATACTAGCCTGGTTTTTTCATTTAACAATATATGATGAATATCGTTCCGTGTCAGTAAATAGAACATTTTAAATAAATGTACCAGAATGGATTTAATCAGTCCCCCGGTCCATTTGTTTTACATATTTTGCTATTATAAATACAGTGAACAGACTGTACAAGAGATCCTAATTTCCACACATTCCACACCCTGTAAAGGCTCTTTGACTCTGAATGTACTTTTTTAAATGATAAATGAGTTTTGAGCTATCACATGGCAGCTTCATTGTCTTTGAATATTTTATTGCATTTGCTTTTATTTTTACAAAGACGTGTGGAAACAGAAAATGAATGGTCTGCTCCTTGTGATAAGCGGCACAGAATCTTACACTCTCATAATTGGCACCAAGATAAAAAGCGCTCGGCATTCTGCATGTGCCTAATCTGGAGCCACCATCACCTTCTCCACTGAACTTCATCCATTCATTGGTGTTCCGTCATCAGAGAAAAGAACAATGTTAAAGAACAAGAACAAAATACTAGAAATAATTATAATCAGAGATTGGGTATAAAAGCAATGTAGAATTAGAAATTTTATCTTTCTTTTTGAAATTCCTCTGGAACAGAATCTATTTTTTTCCAACCTTAATACCTTTATGTTCACCAGTGTTTCCAGAATTCCATTATGTAAGAAAGAAGGGAATGGCTACACTACATATGTATATGCATCTGATTATTCCTGGAGGAGAAATCCCTAGAAATATAAGCACGCCCTTGGCTCTATTAAGTCTATTTTGGATGCTTCACAGAGACCCCAAGACACCATCAAGAAAGGGTGTTACAATTTGCAGTTCCAGCAGAAATGCATGAGTGCCCACTTCCCCACCCACATGGCAAACACAAGCATGCTTAATTTAGGACATTCTGTTGTTATTTTAATTTGCATTTCTTGGATATGGGCACTTTTTCGGTTTCCTTACCTATTACATGCATATAAAAGTTATATCTCCCTGATGATGCAGTTATAAGGATTACATGAGTTGACAGTATGCAAAATTCTCAGGGCAGTACCTAGCATATAGTTCATATTGAGCAAATATAAGATACTTTTCCATGTTTATTTCCTGTGTGAATTTCTATTCTTGTCCTGTGCCTTTTTATATTAGTCCTTTGCCTATTTCTTAATAGTTTATTATAAAGGAAAGCTTTAACTCCTGCTCTATCACATTCTTTTTCCCAATGTGTCATTAAAAATGTTGTTTATAGTTTCTTCAGTTTTAAGTAGACAAATGCATCGATATGAATTTTGCCTTAGACACCATGCTTAGAAAGGCCTGGTCCTCCCCGAGCTTATATTGATAAACACTTTGATTTCACTCTAGTGCTTTCATGGTTTTATTTTCCTAATTCAATCCATCAATCCAACTGGAATTAATTTGTGTTATCCATATGTTAAACAACAGACATGTCTTACATTTTCTAATTAGAAAACAACTCGATACTCCATTAATGTCAGAGTCAACCTTCCTGCTGCCTGCGTACATTCATCAATCACCATGTTCAAGTCCACATGCAGTTTCCAGACTGACCTGGTCACCTGTAAACATACTACCTGGATCTGCATAAAACCTCATCATAGGATTTGGCCCACAGGGCAGGGTGACTTTTCTATTTGCATGCTTGCTAATACAAACTTCTAAGGTTTTTTCCTACAGCAGGGGTCAGAAAACTCTGGACTTTCTGGCCAAAGAGTCAGTGTTTTAGGCTTTTGGGCCAGAGAGTCTGTGGCAACAACTTGACTCAGCAGTCACGGCACAAAAGCAGCCACAGACAGCATGTATGTGAATGCATGTGGCTGTTCCAACACAGCTTTATGTGAATGAGACCTGGATTTCATATTCTGTGTATCACAAATTATTCTTCCTTTGATTTTTCTCACAACCATTTAAAAATGTAACATCAGTTCTTAGTTTGTGTGCCACCTACACAAAAATAGGTGGCAGACCAGTTTGCCAACCTCTGCTTTATTTCAAGAATTTTTTTTGGTGTCTTGTCAATAGGAGTGCCATCCAGAACTCTCTGCACTAACAGAAATGTTTTGTATCTGCTCTCCAATGTGGCAGCTACTCGCCACATACAGCTAATAGGCACTTGAAATGAGTGCTCCATTTTATGTAATTCAAATAGCTGGGACGCCTGGTGGCTCAGCAGTTGAGCGTCTACCTTCAGCTCAGGGCATGATCCCAGCGTCCCAGGATCAAGTCCCACATCGGGCTTCCTGCATGGAGCCTGCTTCTCCCTCTGCCTCTCTCTGTGTGTCTCTCATGAAAAAATAAATAAAATATTTTAATAAATAAATACATAAATAAAAATAAATAAATTTTAAAAATAAAAATAAATAAATACAATAAAAACAAATAGCCACGGGTCTAGCAGCTACCGTACTGGACAGTGCATGTCAACAGAGTAGACTGTCTATATATATGTATATATATATATATTTTTTTTTCTTCTGGGGACCCAAATCCTCATACTTAATATAGTCACAAGAATAATGGGTACTCGCTCAAGTAAAAGTTCTGCAATTTTTTATTCCAGAGACAAAAGGGAACAGGCTGACTTTTCATTTCTAAAGGCTGAAAGTTGGTGGCTACTAAGCAGTGCCCAGAATACTGGCTCAGACACTGCAAATCTTGAAGCTACTACTTCACTCTGCTGTTTCTTCTCATTGCTATTATTCCTTAAAACCACACCACATCCTCTTTTCCCCAATCCTTTCCTCTCTCCCCCAAAAGGATAAAAATAAAAAATACCCGATTAGCGGAAGGCCATGTAGTCTTTGTCACTTTTCCCAGATACCAAATGCTTTGCTAGTAAAATGGCACGCTTACCGTCAGGTCAAGCTGACTGTTCCGCGTTGTGATGGACAGTTCAATGGTGGACAGCTGCACTTCCTTCCAGACCTTGGGGCTCACCTCTTGTGAAAGGGCTGTGTGGGGGCATTAGATTCAGGTCAATTTCTTCCGCTAACATCTCACCACTCTCCCACCAATGGCGAGCTGCCGGCTGCTTGGCTTGGCCACTCAAACCTACCCCCTGATTCTCCACCTCAGTTTTATTTATTTCATAGTTTCTTACACACAGGATGAAGAGCCAGGCTCAAATGGAACATCTATACCCAAAACATCTATTAAAGCAATCACAGTAACATAAAGGTCAGTGACAGAGGGAGCCATGGTTTGTCACCAATGACCCAGGCTATTTCCATTCATGGCACAGTGTTGGTTTGAGTCCCACTCTGTGGCACACAGAAGGAAAATTCAGTGATTCTTGAAAGGCCTCTCCTGCACCACGTGTCTCACACTGATTTGGGGTCTGCTTTCGGACATCCTGAACTGACCAGGGCTCTGCAAGCAGCATGTGGCTCACCATCCTGCGGCTGTGCCCAGTACGATGCGAGCCTTCGTAATATTCTCCTGTACAAAGATGGCCGTGGAGGGGTCTCTTCTGCTCCACTGGGAGGTCTCTCTGTAGGTCCCATGTACGAGATTGAGGCTTGATGTGTCTGAGGCCACTCCTTTTAACGTGAAGAGAGAAAACCTTGTCATGTCCAAACTCTAGGAGGGTCTCTGCAAAGGTCAATCTACCTACACCTGCCTGAAAGCAAATTAATAATAATCTCACTGAATGGAATTATCTCTGCTTTGGAACATGGGATCCTCAAGCTTTCTTTTTCTACTGAAGGCTGATCTTGAAAACCATGAACTCGGTGAGTGCTGCCTCCACTGCTCTCACAATCACAGAGCAGACAAGTCCAAGCAGACTAACCACCACTGCTTATACTTTTTCAAAAAAAAAAAAAATCAGTATGAATGAGCATAGAATCATTCCATAATAAATTTATCTTTGGTTTACAGATGGTGACACAAAAATGAAATGCATCGAAGCATCAAATATCTTCTTCCCTTCTGGAATCCTATTCCACACGGAGCCCAGAATGGTTTAGGCTAGCTTTGCCATCCAGCCAAGGCTTCAAAGACCATCATTCTCAGACTAGATTTTTTGTCTTCTACTTCCTGACACCCCAGTCCAGTCTCATTAGTGTCCACAGGAGTAATTAAAACAACACCCTAGCCACTCAACACTTGATGTCATCCCTAAGTCCCCAGCCACCTATTTCCATGGCCACATCCTGGTCCTTCTCGTTACCAAGAACTATTCCATCTTAGAAACCTAAAACCTTGACGTCTTACTCTGTAGCCACACCCCATATTCTTCTGTTCTTTTGACTGCTTCTTTTGTACTGAACAGGTCTCTTGGGGTGACCCACTGCCTTGGTCTCAGGTTCTCATGCAGTAAATTACAAAGGAGTAACTGGCTTTTCCCTCCCTCCCCCTCTCCCTCTCCATCTGAATGTGGCTGTCCTGGGGACTCACTGCTTCCTCATACAGTTGTCTTCCTATGGCAGTGTCTGCCCTGAAGGAGACATTTTAAGGGGATGAATTCAATTTGGAGTATCTGGAAATCGGATTGTGACCGCATTATCTAAGCTGTGTCCTTTTCTCCTGCTGACATTTATAAAGCTGGTGTTTTGATCTCCATCTGCCTAGCTCCTGCATTGGCTTTCATAACTTGGTTCAAACTCAGAAGAGGAAGAGATGGGTGTGATTTTTGGCCCATGAAGCTCCAACCCCACACCAAATTTCTAATCACTTTGAGAATTCCAGCCCCTGATACACTATTTTCTCTCAGTGCTTAATGAAGTTGATTACTTTAAATCACCCTTTTCCCATCACTGTTGGTCCTCATGTGTCTTTGGGTATTGCATAATATGTGCCCTGAGAAGCCCCTATTCTGGATCGAGCTTGTCACTAGGTTTCTGTACTTGCACCCTGTGGCTCAGTGTTACTAGATGGGCAAACAATACTCCAGGTCGGTACTGATTCAGGGAACAGGGCACACCTGTGCCACATCAAATCTTTGGTCTCAGGTCCTCAATGCTACTTGTTGATCCTTCAAAACCTCCCTATTTTCATCTCTCTTTAAGATCCCCCCAACCCCTAGCACCCACCTCATTTTCAACATATTCCCTGGCTCCCCACGCTTCAGCGAGTCAGGACAACAGTGGAAACTGCCTTAACCCTCTCTTCATTTGTTTGCATCTGGACCTTGGCTCTAGTTCTCTCCCATCCCTTCCTCCATCCCAGGCTGGCCCAGTACCAAGGGACCCATGCCCTCCGACCTGTGTTTGAGTTTTGCAGGTTCAGTCAGGCTCTGCGTCTGTCCCTTGTCTCTCACCTGTTCCCCCCCACCCCGTCTTTTTTTTTTTATAATTTTTTTTAGATTTTATTTATTTATTCATGAGAGACACACACACACAGAGGCAGAGACACAGGCAGAGGGAGAAGCAGGCTCCCTGCGGGTAGACCAATGCGGGACTCGATCCCAGGACCTTGGGATCATGGCCTGGGCCAAAGGCAGACGCTCAACCACTGAGCCACCCAGGTGCCCCAACCTCTTTCCTTTCTTCCTATCTTTTGTTTCAGGGCAGAAAGGCACTGCGCTCTCTCTCTATGCAATTAAACAGTCCATGGCCTGTCTTTCTCACTAGCTCTGGCCTTTCCTAGCTCTCTCCTCTCCAAGTCAAGCCTCCTGAAGGAGCGGTCCCCCTCCACTGTCTTGGCATTTCAATGTGGCTCAGCTGCCCCCTCGGAGGTGAGCAGAGCTTCCGAGGCTGAGGCTGCCCCATTCAGTGGGTGCCCTCCTGTCCCAACACTCCCACTCCCGGGGCTGGCGTGTGTGTGACCCTCATGGGGACCCCCTTCCCCTCAGTGCTCCACGGGCAGCTCCGTGGTTCCCTAAATGCCTACAGTCCTCGGGGCTAACCATGGGCTTGTTTGCTCTACACAGCAACTTCGTCAAACCCCGAGTTGCAACACCACTCCAGCACTCAGGACGTCTACACCTGTGTCTTCAGACCTAAGTCACAACTGTATCTCCGCCTGTCTCCACAGGGAAGCTGACCTCCGTATGTGCCAAACTGAAAACATCCCCTTTCTCCACAAATTCGATCCTATTCTAATATTGTCAGTGTTAACAGAAAATTAGTTAGCGAACTAGGCCCCGATCAGAAACCAGAGACTCCTCTCATCCCCCATTTTCAAAGGGGCCACCTCACGACCCCTTTCACCCACCCTCTGCTGTCAGCACACACAGTTGGCATCCTGGCTGGACCTCATCGCTTCTCACCTGCCTTGAACAATCTTTGGTCTGGTGCCCTTGCCTTCACTACCGGCAGGCAATCTCTCGTCTACACTCCTGACAAATAACTTTTCTAAAATGCAGACCTGGTCCCATCTCTCCCCTGCTTAAGACTCAGCAACTCCCCAACGCTTTCATGGTAAAAGTCAGACGCCACATCCAAACCTGCCATGCCTAGCCCTCCCTCGACACCCCCTCCCCGCTGCTCGGCTGCCCTGGCAGCTGTGTGACATCACGGCCACTTCACACAGCCTGGCTCCTCCACCCGGAATGCCTTTGCTCTAGTCCTGTACAGATTCAAACTCCAGTACAAGTGTTCTCTGCCCTGGGAGGACTGCTGCCTCCTGTCTGCCCCCACCTTATCTTTCCATACGCTGTCCTTGCACTTGCCAGACCACGGGCTTACTTGCCCCTCACACTCCCTGCACGTGGATCCTCCTGGAGGGCAGGAAACCTGTCTTATTTGACTTTGAACACTCCAAGCAGACAGCAGGGCTGGCCCCACTAGATATTTAATAACTGTTTACTGACGAAATGCTGGAAACAGTTTATGTTCTCCCTGACTCTACAACTTGAGGTAGTAGAGCTTTGCTACTCTTCTTAAATGCACCCACTACTCCACCACTGAAATTATTCCCTTAAGCAAGAGTAACGATGCATTTTACTAAAACAGTCTGCCTTCAGTGTAGAGAGGCTTTGCCCTCCAAGTTCATTTTCATAATCATATAAATTGGTCACCCTAGTACTTTAGGGTTTTGTTTTTTTGGGGTTGGTTTTTTTTTTTTTTTTTTTTTTTTTTTTTTTTTTACATTTCTTTAACATACAAGAATCTATTTAGAAGATACGGGGAGCTATGTTTTCCAAATGTTTTGCAATGGACATACATCACTTTTATAATTAGAAAATCCCTTGACACTCTGAATATTAACATTAAAACCAATATTTTCACTACAAATTTCATCTGCCAATTTTCAGATTGACCTGCCAACTTTTGAATATACTGCTTTGATTTGCATAAAAGCTGAACACAGGATGTCATCCACAGATAAGGATGACTTTTCTATTAGCATTTTCATTAATATACACGGTTCAGCTTTTCTCTATGGCAACATTTTTCAGTGAACAGGCTATAGGAGCAGTGCCGGATGGAACATTCTCCAATGTTGGAAATATCCTCTATTTATACTGTTCGAGACAGTAACCACTACCCAAATTTTGCTAGGACAGTTTGAAACCTACTCCATTATACACAAGCCTGCACAATTACATACATTCGGATGCAAATCTTTAATTCATTTCCAGATATGAATGTAGACACCCTTACAAATAATTGATGAGATATAGGTCATTTTATTCCAGGTTTGTCTGGCAAGAGTGAGTGAATAGATAAGCAAAAGGAAGTGGGATGCCAAAGAGAAATTAAGTACGAGTTTGGTAATGGAGGGAATAAGCTAGTAGATGAGAGGCGATAGCTTATCTAATAGGAATGCTTTCTGCACTCGTATCTAAGTATCCCATATTTTAGTATTGGAGCATGACTTATGTATCTGTAGCAGGGAATTTTTTAAAAATCCAAATACACACATCACAGAGTAATAACAAAATAACACAGGGCAAATTTCTACATTGTAAATTGCATTTACCTTAAGGGTGCTGAAGAAGTGAGCTGCTTTGGTTTTAAGAGGCCCAAGATACCAGTACCTGAGAAAGATCAAGACAAAAATCTAATTAGAATCTTAAGAGAACTATCCACGTGATAGACACGGTTCATGTTGGACAACAGTACGTTCGAACCACACCTCGACTGTGGGTACTCTTCACAGTCACCTCTAGCGTGAGATGTGTACTATGAATTACACTCTACTCACAGTTCTGGTGGCCTGGGGATTATACTTTAGCAGAAAAAAGTGCAGTTAAATTTTGAATATGCATTTCAATGCTGTGTCAAACAGTGTGCAATTAGGTACACAGTGGATAGATCCTTGCAATTCATAAGAAATACATAATCAGCATCTCTCTCTCAATTTACAGGTACCACTGTAATACACACTTTCAACCACAGGATGTAGTAGAGAATACATTCAAAAGAGCAATGAGTAGAAGATGATGAAGCCACAATGAGATGCAGATGCCAGGTGATCTGGTGTGTGACTCACATGCTAAGTGACCAGACCCTATATATGTGTTCTCTCTCTTTCTCTGACACACACATACCTTATATATGATGTTCTCTCTCACACATACAAATAATTAAAATTTGTAAATCAGTGTAACTTCACATTACACATTTTATGTAGCTTTAAAATGGAAATGTTCAATCTGGGAATGAAGAGAGTCTGCTGCATATTGCTTAATACCTAAAAGCTAGCAGAGAGAGAAAGATGCCTACTAGGAATTAGAAAAGTGGCATAAAATAGATTCCTCTATCAAAATTTATCTGTCCCTTACCAGGCCATCTTAAGTGTTCTCTATTTGATTCTGATCAATATGCATTTATTTAGCACTTACTATGTATATGAAGGAAAGAGAAGAAAGAGTATAAAGTTCCTGCCTTTGAAGTCTTCTAATTTGAGAAAATAAAGCCAAAAAAAGTAATAGAAATCAATACACGACCATATGTATCGGTGTAAACCGATCACTATTTGTTGGTAAGGAGAGTCGAGGAGGGACAAGAAATCACTAAGGGCTGGAAATCATGGGAGCAGCCATGCCTGCATAATGAATGGCACAAGGGCAAAGTAAGGGTGTGGAATTTAGAAAGATGGTTTTGATTTAGACATGTGAAAGACGGAAAAGAAGTCATTCTAGGCAAGAGGAGTAGCAAAGGTACAAGAAACACTCAGAAAAGCAGTCACAGCAAAGACTTGAAAGTAAAGACACAGAACTATGGAATTAGGGTTGACAGATGACGGATAAAGTTGGGCCTTAAATGCCACAACACAGAGGTTAGATAGAATTCAATGAGCAATGTGGAGCCATCCTCATTATTATTAGGTCCATAGTGTGATGCTACTAATGAGGACCTTGATCATCTGATTTTTTTTCTAAGCTTATGTAATAATTTGCTTCATTTCCCAGCTAGCCAGAGAGAAAGGCCGTTTATTCCTAACTGGCCGTAGTTCCACTCATGTCTACCAACAGCACAGCTTGAAACTATGCTTGTAGCCCGAAGGCCAGCCAGATCATTTCATGCATGCCTATTGTTTCTCCCAAGGCACAGAGGGTGACTCGGTGGAGGGTCCCAGCTGAGGTGTTGCATAACCACCACCAAAATTTTTAAATTCATTGTTCAAAAATCAATCAAAACAGGAGCAGGTGTGTGAGATAGTACTAAAGGGGCTGATTTATGCTAATGCTCACTGTTGATTAACACATTTCAGAAAACAGTTTGTTTGCACCAGACTTTTTCAGGGAAAACTAAGCAATTCCTCTTGGTGAGGTGCTGGTATCGGAGATCACAGATAAAACAGAGAGTGATTAGTGGAATCAAGGTAATCATGGCCAATTTACAAATAACAACAATGTGAAACGCTCAACAATGTAATATAATACAGCAACATTTCTCTTTGACATTCCACTCTCCAGAACTCCACTGGCAGGAATAACAAAGTAATACATGTAAGAGAAATTTCTTTTTTTTTTTAATAAATTTATCTTTTATTGGTGTTCAATATACCAACATAATAGAATAACACCCAGTGCTCATCCCATCAAGTGCCAAGAGAAATTTCTATAAAGGAAGCATGGTAGGGAAGCCCAGGAGGGGAAAGGGGTTTTCTTGATAAAAAGTGGTGAGATTGATCATAATTCATTCAAACCATACTAAAATTATAAGTCCCATGTTAAGAAAAGGTAAAGAGAGAGCACAACCGAACTGATACGGAGTGAACCTCACGCAGCGTCTCCACCAATCCCACCTCAGGAAGCCTGTGTCTGCACCACCTTGGAGCAGAACACAGCACACCCAAATTCCAAGACAATAGTTTCATTCGGCACAATGAGCTCTTCAAAAAAGAAGTCCATTCCCGTGGAAGCCAGCCGCGGGTCTTTCGATCCGCTAGGCTTGCAACAAGAATGCCTCTCAAGGACAGTCTTCTGACCAGAACTGTAAAAGCTCCACAAGGGCTGGAGGCACCCCCATCAGTGCCACCCCAACAGGCTGCTGGACCCAGGCAATTTCAGCCTAGCATGAGCCTCACCTGTGCTCAGACGCAATGTCCAGAGACAGAGATGCAGTCTATACCGCTTCACTACCAAACAAGCAAGGAGGAAACCAGAATCTTCCCCAACCTTTCTGTGTCAGATCTAACCATCTACACATTTATTATTCATAAGTAATTCAACCTCCAGGCCCACCAGATTTCTTCCTAGATGATCACTGTATATTGAAACCTCAAAGACAGGAGCAGAAGAGTCTTTAAAAAATCATCCCACATCAGTACAATAATCCTTTACTTGCTAACTTTGACGCCAGCATCTCTGAAGGATCCCCATCGAAGGCCAGTCATTGCAAACACGGGCTGTTCCTTTTCTCCCTGGAAGTTAAATACATTCATTTTAAATTAATGATTACAGTAACTTGGAACTCTCTACAGGTGAACACCGAGCAAATGTTCATGGCCTACTTTTCATCAAACCAAATTCTAAAAAGGATGTTCAAAATCTCAGAAATTAACTGAGTAATCAGTAAAAGGACTTGAATAAACCATATTATAAAATGAAATTAATTTTTATATACTAGGCCTCATGAATTTGCTGGCAAGGGAACATATTATTATACTTCAGACTGTAAATTATGAAGTACCTAACTATGCTGGCTCTTCAACCAGCCAGAATTTCTTCTCTCTCACAGACTTGCCCAAGGCAAAGATAATTTAAGCCTGCATTCTCTTTAGAGGTCCAAGTGCTCTCAAGTAAAGAGAAGAATCCTGGTACTCTAGAATGTTTCGCCTGAATATCTAAAAAATACAGCCAGATATCTGTTGTAGCAAGTCAGAATAAAAAGCAATTCTGATTTAATCCAACCCTTTATGGCAAAATATTGCATATTACAATCAGTGAATTACTAATAAATCCATGAGTTAAGCAATATATAGAAAACATACACAATATGGTCTTTAAGAGTTTGTACTTCATGATGGACCTTCCTTAAAGTATAAATACATATATCAAGACTGTAAAAAGGCCCTTTACCCAGAGCTCAGAATTACAGCCAAAGCCCAAGGCTTTGCCCACATTCTAAACAGAGCTCCTGCATGCTAGACACAACTCCACAAAACTTGCTACAAGGGGACAGAATCAGCTCCATTTCCACGATGCCATCAGTACAGCCAGTATCAGCAGAAGATAAGGAAGTAGAAGAGAATCCTTGATGCTGTAAACTGTCGGTCTAGAGAAAGTATGTGAGGTCTTCTCAGGGAGGGAGTGTTTCCCCTCAATCCCACTTCAACCCTACTACACCAAAACCAAGTAAGGGATTTCTCGGAGAATCACACACTGGGAGGGGCAGCTTATAAAGCTTTTGGCCTCTCATTCTTTGGTGTCTATCTGTCCAAGCAGTAGGTGGGCTCTTCTGCCCTCTGTACCAGCTTACACATGGGAAAGGGAGCTACAGCCACAGATGGTCGGGCCCAGAGGTGACAGTGACATACCTCAGCCTCGCACAGCAAGGATACATTAGGCTCCTGGGAACCAAGGGGACATTGTGGAACATAGCAGGGCTCTGAGCCACCCCGATGGTAGAAAGCTTATCATTTTTTGTCATGGAATGATCATCGACAAATACATATCCTGTATTAGGGTGATTAAAAAAAAATCACCTATATAGTGATTTATTTTTTTTTTCTTTTTCTTTTTTTTAATTTTTATTTATTTATGATAGTCACAGAGAGAGAGAGGCAGAGACACAGGCAGAGGGAGAAGCAGGCTCCATGCACCGGGAGCCCGATGTGGGATTCGATCCCGGGTCTCCAGGATTGCGCCCTGGGCCAAAGGCAGGCGCCAAACCACTGTGCCACCCAGGGATCCCTATATAGTGATTTAAAAAAAAAAAAAAGATCTGCCCTCAAACAGCTCTGGGTGCGACATGGGTGTGCAGACACTGACAATGACAATACAATGCAGTAGATTTCCATAATAGAGAGAGGCACCAAGTATTAGGAAAGCACAAAGCAGGTGTGACTGCATGAGGTGTGGCGGGAGTAAAGGAGATGAATGGCAACGGAAATACAACATAAAGCGACACCTACATTAAATTTTAAAGAACAAGTTGCCTAGATTGAGGGAGACTGGGGAGAAGCATGGAGTGATAGAAAAGAGAGAAGTGCTGGTTTAGCCTCCGGGAGAGAAGCAACACTGAGTATGTAGTACCTACAGGCGGATTTCCCCAAAGGCTCCATAGGGGTTAGTAGGTGTCACAACTAATAAGAACAATGATGATGGTAGAGGGTCCCATGATCAAAGCTGAGAAATACCAAAATGCCTTGTTTTGAAACAAGTTAAGTTTACTGTGGTTCTTCTAAGAGTCTTTAATAGGCTACTGTACGTGATATACTTCCAAAAGGAGAAATACAGTTTCCCTGAATTGTTAACTGTGCAACCCTTCTCTGGGAGGCATTCTGCATAACTAATATTCCTCAGGAAAGGCAATCAAAAGCAGATAGTGTCACATGTAAGTCTTGGTTTTAGAACTCAAGACGTCCCAACTGGTGTTCTAAGAATGTTTTCTCACTTTTCTTTGGAAGATTTTAAGAAGATTTTGTTAAGATTAGCTGAAAAGCCTTGAAATGTCTCGGTGCCACTGATTTGGGGTACAGTTCCTAGCAAGGGGTAGGAAGGACTCTGGACAATAGGAAATGAGTGTACAAAGATCTAGAGAAGCCCAGCTAACAGCCAGATGGGTGTAGAGCCCTCGGGATTCAGAAGAGGCCTGAGGGTTGGTAACAAAGAGACTGGTCTTTGTTGGGGTGCACAAGAGAAATAAACAAAGGCAGATGGGTATAGTGGAAGCTGACAGACAAAACACCACTGGATGTTAAGGTGATAAAGGCCTGGGTGATAGAGTATCAGATGGACGGATCAGTGAACAAAAACAGATACAGAAAGACAGGCACACAGCCAGATCTTAACAGCAAAGGATATACTTTGTCCCAAATCAAAGGCCCCCTGGAAAGAGAAAATGGCCTAATGGTTTGCTAAAGAAAAAAAAAACTCAGAGAGCTGGTCAGAATAAAAGCTTAAGGGGCAGTTAAAACAATTCTGGTCAACTAGACAAGTACTAACCTAGGAATTTTAGGAATTCTAGGTGAAGACTTAGAAACAAAGAGGAATACAGAAGTTCTGAAGCAGCTCTCAGCATCATTCTGAGAGAACGATCAGTCAGGGTTTGAACAGAAGGAAGCTAGGAATACAGAAGAAAGGAGAGATTCTAACTTCCACCAGCAGCCCTATCCTCCTCTTCAGGTTCTGGGTTGGCAGGTTTTAAGAGTCCAACTGCAGGAGCAAAAAGAAAGAACTAGAAAGACTTTGATAAGTCTTTCCAGTAGTTACTTTAAAGTCAAGTACTAGGCTTTGTAGATGTCTATATAGGAAAAGGCCCTTTAGAAATCATGGGATAGTGCCAAGTGATGCCACCTGGACAAAACAGTCAAGTCAAAAAGCAATGGACCATAAGACAGGAAATCTAGATTCTACTTCTGTCTCCAGCATGACGAGCCAGATAACCAGCTCATTCCTTTTTTTTTTTTTTTTTAACTCTGTCAAATGAAGATACTAATACACATCTTGTCCGCTTAAGCTGGAACTCCAAGTGAGATATGAACACACACGGACACTGTAAAAAATCTAAATATAAAGCAATATTATAGTCCCCAAGGACTATTTCTTTGGAGACTCTTCAGTTATATATGTTTAATTGGGTTTGGGCTTGTTTTTTAAAAGAAGTGGAATCAAGTATCAGGCTTAACTATAATCCTCCTTGCCCCACTCCCATATTCTGAAACAATTTCCAGAAATAAGGAAGAAAGAGAAGACAAATTCAGCTTAGCTGGGTGCCTCAGAAACCACAGTGGAGGTCGCTGTACTATGTTTTCTAGGAATTAATTTTAAAAGTTTTGTGCTTCTTGGGCTGTGTCATCAATACACAGGGCCTGTGGCAAATTTGATACTGGTTTCATCAATTCACAAAATCAGTACATTCAAAAGAAAAAAAAAGAGGAGACAAGGCTTTTAAATACAAGCAGAGCCAACAATTCCCAATTAAATCCTAATTACTCTGGAATGTATTACTTCTCGCACACTTATAAGCAGCAGTAAATCACCTAGTTATTAGGAGATATAGCCTGACACCTTCTTTGGTAATAACATTTTAATATAATATTTCCACAGATGCCAATCTGTGCTGCCTTCCTGGGGGTAGAATTTCTTTCCCCCAGCCCTTCTATTTTGTAAGAAGGACTTAGATTTATTATTCACTAAAGAATTAAATGCGACTGAAATAACTTTTATCATGACCAGTGATGTCACGGTGGAGAGTTCAGACATCACCGCGTAAAGAACAAAGGAAAACTGGCTGTAGGCACATGGGTTTGCCAATTATAAATATGCACCTGGCCAATGCTATATAGCTAACAGCAATATTTTAGGACTCAGGTTTGGAATTGTGACATAGTGTGAAACCTTCTTTCATAGGTGTTAGGAAACTTGAAACTTTAGAGAATATAAAGCATTCAGAGCCTCTAAAGGACCACGTGAATGTAGCTGATACATTTTAAGACCAAATCTGAGCAAATGACATGGGGCTCACATTCATAGAATTGTTTGGCGTTATGGTTTAGCCTTCTGAGGAATCTGCCCTTTTGTGGTGGGGAAAGGGGGAGAAGTGATGGAGGAGGAACAGGTACCTAACTACTGCCCAGTGAGAATTTTTCTTAGAATTAAATTCTTTTTAAAGAGAGGGTTCCAATCAGGAATCAGGAATGGCTACTGGGTCTTCTTCCCTCCAAAATTTTCCCTTTGGAAAAATGCCCAACCAAGAAATTCTTTAATGTACAACGAACACCATTTATATCTCTCAACTATATTCACCAGCTACAAACATGTTTGCCTATTGGCTTTATCTGTGTGCGCATTTTGTAGTTTTGTTAAATCATTTGCAAATAAATGGAAGACTTCAGGGTCCTCACCCTTAAGTATTTCAACATGCATCTCCTAAGAACAATGACAGACATAAACATAATACTGTGGTGACTCACAAGAAATCTAACATTGACATATATCCCATACAGTCCATATTAAATATCTGATTGTTCCCATAATACCTTTTATGGTCTTGTTTTTTATTTTTCTAACCCAGGATTTTGTACTGGATTTAACTATATTGCTATGGTTTCCCTAATCTTGAACAGACTATCTTCTCTTGGATTTCAGGACACTGACATTTTTGAAGAGGCCAGACCAACTGTTGTTTTTAGAATGTCCCGCAATTTGGATTTGCTAGACTTTTTTCTCATTACTAGTTTCCGTTAGATTCAGAGAAGTGAATGTTTGGGGCAAGGAACCACATAGGTGATGGTGTATCCTTCTCAGTAGATCACATCAGGAGGCAGATAGTGTCTGTCTGTCCCACTATTGGTGATGCTAGGTTTGAGCACTTGGTTAAGGTGGTGTATCCTGGTCCTCTCTATCACACAGGTACATTTTCCTCTTTGTAATCATTCGGTAATTGGTGATGCCTTAATATTATGTCAATATATATTCCCCAACAACCTTCCCTATTCAATGGTTTTAGCATCCACTGATGATCTCTATCTGAATCAATTATTTCATCAGCGATTACAAAATAATAACTATCATTCCTTCAGTATTGACAAGTTGTAAATTCTCTAATATTAAGCTATAGGCTCATAAATTCATTTTTATTTCCTATATTATAATCCATTAGCATTATTATTCTTTTTGATGTTCAAACTGTCCCAAAATTGGCCAGATGGATACCATCAGGCTAACTCCTATGTCTTTTCATGTTGACACTAGTTTTTGAGTAGCTCTTGGCTTTGTCCTTGCCTTGCCTCTGAAAGTCATCTCTTCACCGAGTCCTAGTAACTTTTCTATTTTATTTTATTTTATTTTATTTTATTTTATTTATTTATTTATTTATTTATTTATTTATTTATTTATTTATTTATTTTCCTAGTAACTTTTATTAGGGAACAGTATTTAGAAAACAAAATCTGAGTGCCAGGTATGCTCATTGCTGTAGGGTGTCATTGCTTTAAAGCCCTTTTAGTGGGTATAGCCAGCAAATTTTTTTTTAAAACGATACATGAGTTCATCTACAAATCAATAAAATGTTAGACTATCCAATAGAAAAATGGAAGTTCTGCTCACATTTAGGATGTAGGAACTTACAAAGAATACTGTTCCCACTTGAAAAATGAGAAAAAGCCAGATAACCTACAAAATCAACATTTTTCTTGAGCCCATCAGAGAGCTGTAAGACAGCCACGTAACCTGAATTCTAAAGACCCATCTTCCAAAGGACAGATGGGACATGAGAAAGGTTTCACCTTTAGCAGAGCATAAGAGCAAGAGATAGCCACCATGCAAACAGGTTAAAGTGAAACCCATCACTGTCCCAGGCAGCTTTGTATTATTAGCTTTTTTAATATTCCAAACCACTATATGAGATAGAGAAATGATGTAGTCCAAAAGTAATCAATGGAAGAACTAAAAATAGTGACACAACTATACTGAGAGGAGACACGGAGAATTCTTATTTATAACAAAGAAGTCAAGAGATAAAGCCTAAAACTGATAAATCAAAAAGCAATTTCATAGACTATTGATCAACTGTACACCTGAAAATGGTTATGATGGTACCCTTTAGGTTTTTTTTTGGGGGGGGGGGTGGAACACAGTTTTAAAAAGGAGCATCAGAAGCATATTAACTAGTGATAAAAACTAAAATAAACAGGTAAAATGATTTTTCTCTGGGAGTTATGCTTGGGATAGGAAAGGATATTACTTTCATTGTAACCCCATTTGAACTGCTACATCTTATTTTAACTCATGTGTACATTACTTTGTGAATTTTGTCAAACTCTGAAAAAAAGACTTTACCTTGATCTGCAAGACATCAAGTGGAATGGTCTCTCCTTTCACAATGGCAAGTGTGGCATCTGTAATATGTCTAAAAGACAAAGGGAAGTAATGATCATGTGTGGAAAAACAAGCGATCTCTCCCCCAACACATTCTCTCTCAATCTCTCTCTCTCTCTCTCCTGCCCAGAGTACTAACAGTCAGGTGAGGGAAAAAGATATATTCCCTCAAAATACTCCAAGACAAATGAATATAAAAGAATTACCAAAACAAATATAGTGGAAGGCTTTGGCAAAGATAAATTTATATAAGGTGCCCATCATTTGCTTACTTCACAGTTATTGAAACTCTACTATTGTGTCTGGCTCTTATTACTGGAAAATATGATACTTGGTGTGTATATATATATATACACACACACACACACACCCCATCTTTTCATTCCAAGAAATTCAACCATTTGAAAAAATTTGTTTCTTTTTACTCTATAACCTAAAGGGTAACTAAAGGATAGGATCTGAGCTATCTCAGCAATATATAATGTAGAACCCAAGGATGACAAGGATGTAATTTTAATTGCTGATTCTTTTGTGCACAGACACAAGACTATTCCTATCTACATTCTAATCATCAGTTGAAAAGTCTACAGGTAAGAAAGGTTTGTACCATTGACAACCATTCAGAGCAAGGGAAACTATGCTAGCTTAAAAGCCGTTCTAGGGTTCACAGTCTAATTAGATCCCAGATCAGACATACATTAATATACAACATAGAGTCAGCCAAAGAAATATTAAATCAACAAGTGGCCAGACAATATTTGCTCCTGCCGCAGAAAGAATGAGTCAACCCACATCAAACACTTTCCTTGCCCAGCCTGTCTCTCCCTCCTGTCACTTTACTGTCTCTTTGCATGGCTGGCTATTCTCACCCTTCAGATCTTGGCTGAAATGTCACCATTCACCAGAACCAGCCTATAGGCCTTCCCTATTACCAATCTGTGTTCATTTTACTTCAGCAAAGATCACAATTTATAATACACGTTTTTTAATTTACATCTTTATCATCTGCCTCCTGCAAGACTGAAAGCTCCACAAGGTTAGTAATAATGTACATCTACTATTGACCAACAGAAAACCTAACACCTAGCACAGAGCATGCTATGTAAAAGGCAATCAATATTTGATGAATTAATGATTTTATTCTATAAAATTCCAAGCATATAAAAATACCTAGAGAGGGATGCCTGGGTAGCTCAGTGGTTGAGCGTCTGCCTTTGGCTCAGGGTTTGACTTTGCGGTCCTGGGATCGGTCCGCATTGGGCTCCCTGCAGGGGGCCTGCTTCTCCCTCTGCCTAGGTCTCTGCCTCTCTGTTTCTCTCATGAATAAATAACTACAATCTTTAAAAAAAAAAAAAAAAACCTAGAGAACAGTATCATGAATTCTTGTGTATTCCTCATCCAGTACCAACAAGTATCAATGCATAGCTGATCTTACTGCTTTTTATATACTCTCACTCACTTCTCCCAAACTGTAGTGAAACAAATCCCAGATATCTTAACACTTTATCCATAGATATTCCTTTATGTATCTCTAAAACACACAATCCTTTATTCCTAAAAGACATATTCCTAAAACACAAAATGACACTTTTTTAAAAAAACATGTCATTATCATATCTAAAACATTTTAATAATTCTTTATATCAACATACATTTAGTCAGTGTCGAAATTTCCCCAATTAACTCATATTTTTTCAATTCCTCTATTCAAATCTGGATTTAAATAAGATCTACTTGTTGCAATGGGCTTATATGTCAAGTCTTTTCTGACCTACGGATTCCCTTTCCTTTTCTTTTCCCTACTTGTTAAAGAAATGTGTTGTCTCACTGTGTTGCTGAGGGTCTGGATTTTACTGATTGCATTCCCATGGTATTAACATATGTCTCCATTCCCTGCATTTCCTAAAAACCTCTATCTGGTTCAGTTTGGTGTGTTTGGCAAAAATATTCCAGAGGCAGTGGTATGCACTTCTATCAGGGAGTACATAAAATCTGTTTGTCTCTTTTTGTGATAGTATCAACCGTTGATAATCAATAGCTAGATTTATAAGTTAACAAAGTTGCAAAATGGTGATCTTTTAAATTATTGCTCCTTCTAATTTATTAATCTGGTCCACAAAGAGAAACATTCCCTCATCAACGATTTGGGTACCATAAAATAGAGGTGGTACAAGAAAAATCAGAATAAATGATTTATTAATAAATAATGATTTTTTAACTTCATCAATTTTCAAAATCATAAGCTGATATCTCAGTAACCTCTGAAAAGGACCATTGAGTTTTTCACCTTTATTTCTGAAGATCATTACGAACTCACAGATAGCTTTAAAAATATTTGCTAGGTTTCAATGCATTATAGTTATTAGCCTTACTGATATTCAAATTGTCCCAAATAAATGAACTGCAAGGGTGGAAGACAACGATCAGTAGATAATCAGAATGAATGATGAGAAAGAGTAGCCAACAAAGGTCCATCTCAATGTCAACCAAGTTGAAGAACTAACAGTTCCTCCCTAGTACCTATTCACACAAGTAGAATTATCTATGTTTGAAAAAATTAGCTTAATATTTTAACTTCTTTTTCAAAGTTAGTTTGAGATATAATTTTTAAAGATTTTATGTATTTATTCATGAGACACACAGACAGAAAGGCAGAGGCAGAGGGAGAAGCAGGCTCCCTCCTGACAACACAAGGCTTAATCCCAGGACCCTGGGATCATGACCTGAGCCAAAGGCAGACACTCAACCACTGAGCCACTCAGGCATGCCAAGATATAATTTATAAATAGGAAATTTCATCCTTTTAGGTACACTGTTCTACAAATTTTGACAAATGCCTTCCATCATGTAACCATGACCATGACCAAGAAAAAGAACATATCATTAAGCTCCCTGCATGGAGCCTGCTTCTCCCTCTGCCTGTGTCTCTGCCTCTCTCTCTGTCTCTCATGAATAAATAAATAAAATATTTTAAAAAAAAAGAAAATAAAAAGAACACTTATGACATCTCAGAAAGTTCTTTCATGGCCCTTTGTGCCCAACCCACTCCCACCATCAGCTGCTGGCAACTACTGTTTTCCCAGAATGTCATATAAACTGAAACAAAAAGTATGAAACCTTTGTAGTTGAGCTTTTAAAAACTCCTCACATGAGTATGAGATTCATTTATGTTGCTGAATGGATTTAAAGATTGCTTCTTTTTATTGCAGAGTTGTATTCCATTGTATGGATATACCACTGTTTTGCCATTCACCAGCTGATAGACATTGGCACCATTACCAGTTTTTGGCAGTTACAAATGAAGCTACTGTAAACATTCATGTATAGGTTTTTGTATAGACCTATGTCTTCATTTCTTTTGGATAAATACCTAGCAGTATGATTGCTGCTCATAGGTTTAATTTTAAAAGAAACTGCCAAACTATTTTCCATAGTGGCTGTACCATTTTGCATTTCCACCACCAACATAAGATTTTCAGCTGCTCTGTGTATTTGTCAGCACTTGATGAGGTCAGGTTTCTGACTGGTTTAAGCCATTCTAATAGACGTATCTCAGAGTGGATTTAATTTACACTTCCCTAATGACTAATGATGAATATTTTTTCATAGACTTATTTGCCATCTATGTCCTAGGTGAAGGGTCTGTTCAAATATTTTTTGCCCTTCTATTAGGCTGTTTGTTTTCTTATTATTGAGTTGTGAGAGTTATTTGTATACTCTGGATATTGGTCCTTTATCAGACATGTGCCTTGCAAATATTTTTTCCCAGTGTGCAGTTTGTCTTTTCATTTCTTTAACAATGCTTTCAAGGGTGCCTGGGTGGCTCAGTGGGGTAAGTGTCTGCCTTCAGCTCAGGTCATAATCCTACGGTCCTGGGATTGAGCCTCATGTTGTCAGGAGGGAGCCTGCTTCTCCCTCTCCCTCTGCCTCTGCCCCTCCACTTTGCTTGTATTTTTTTTCTCATTCATGCTCTCTCTCAAATAAATAAAATCCTTTAAAAAAAACAATGCTTTTCAAAGACCAAATGTTTTAAATTTTGCTGAAGCCAAAATTACCTTTTTTGTTGTTTTTATGGTTTCTGTTTTTTGTGTCCTAAGAAATCCTTGCCTAGCTTAAAGTCACAAAGATTTTCCTCTAGGAGTTTTACAGTTTTAGGTTTTATATCTAAGTCTATGATCGATTCCATGTCAATTTTTATATATATGAGGTATGGGTTATGGTTCATTTTTGTGCATGTGCTTAGCTAACTACTGCAGCACCAATTGTTGAAAAAACTGACCTTTCTCCATTGAATTGTCCTGGCCCCTATGTAAAAAAAAATCAAGTATCCAGATATGTGTGGGCCTAATTCTGGACACTTTCTTCTACTGATCTATCCATTTCTTCTTTTGCTAACATCATACTGTCTTGATTACTGTAGCTTTAGAGAGTAAGTCTTGGAATCAGATAGGGTAAGTCCTCAAACTTTGTTATTCTTTTTCAAAGTTATTCTGGTATTCTAGTTCCTTTAGTTTTCCAGATAAATTTTATTTTATTTTTTTTCCAGATAAATTTTAGAATGTACATGTTAATATCTATAAAATGTCTCCTGAAATTCTGATTGTGTTGAATTTTGAAGGAGCAGATATCTCTCCATTTGTTTTCTTGATTTCTCTTCAAATAAATCCTACACATATCTTGTTCGATTTATCCCTAAGTATTCCATGTTTTTGTAAAGGCTTACCAATGTTAGTATTTTACTGTTGTTATATAGTAATTACTAATAAAGTAAAAGATTTATTATGTCTAGCGCTTAACTATAAGAAAAGAGTCACTCAGAAATTATTATAATCTCCATTCAAAAGAGTGTAGTTTCTCTTCAGATATAGCTTCTGCTAATCTATTCTGTATATTTCTGGTTAATCATGTCAATTTGGTAGAAAAGTCACCATTCCGTAGTAACTGACTGGAATATCTATAAAATGCTTTTTCCTTTAAAAATGTTTTTCCTTGGGCAGCCCTGGTAGCTCAGCAGTTTAGCGCCACCTTCAGCCCGGGGTGTGATCCTGGAGACCCAGGATCGAGTTCCATGTCGGGCTCCCTGCATGGAGCCTGCTTCTCCCTCTGCCTGGGTCTCTGCCTCTCTCTGTGTCTCTCATGAATACATAAATAAAATCTTTTTAAAAAAATGTTTTTCCTCGGGTGAAACAGCAAGACAATGGAGTGTTCTCTTCTTTGATTTGCTTCTATTATTTTAATTATAGAATCTGGACTCAGTAGCTATACAGTCATCCTATTTGTTATTCACAGTTTTCCATCCTAAATTATCAATAAAGATGCATAAAGTCTTCAACATATCCAATAATTTACCAAGCATAATTACCTGCTTACCTAACTAGTCTTTATGTTTAACTTGTTAACAACCTTCTGAAGTAAGTACTACTGTTGGGCATTTGATAAATGCAGGTAAAGAAACCAACGCTCAGAGAGATTCAATAAAATTCTCAAGATGACAGAGCAAGTTCACTGCAAAATGAAATTCAACTTCACGCTGAATTTCTGATTCCAAGGGCACACTCCCTCACTTGGTGAGGCTGCTGTGGATGCACCAAAGGAATATCTATAGGTTCCCAAAGGGCAACCCCACATCTAACAGGCCTCCCCACCAGTGTGACCAGGCTTAAAATGTTAACATCTAAGTCAGGAATCACATCCACTTGAATCAGCATTTCTAGCACTTAGGTACAATTTACGACACTTTAAAAATCCCCAAAATATACACATTAACTCAAATACTTAGATTACATTCTGGGCTCCCTAGTAAGCAAAATCAAAGTTAAGAAACAGCCTATTTTTCTTTCCCATATTTCTCTATCAATACGCCTTTATCCCATTTTTTCCCTCTAATACAGATGCTATCCAGGAAAGTAGGAAGCAGTTTAGAAAATGAAATTAAATCTAGGATAAAGCAAGAGGCATGTTCACAAGTTTAGATGAATCTGATATGAATATATTAATTCTGAAGGAAGCTATTAGAAAGGATCCAAAAGCTCTCTACTTACTCTGTAGTACTGAGCACATGGAGAGGTTTAGGAAGTGCTTTTGAGACTGACCTTAAAGAAAATGTTGCAACTGAAGAAGCCTTATAAGATCAGGTTTTTTCCAAAATCATTGGCAGCACACAGCTAAAATACAACAGCGAATTTATCATTTTCCAGCAGTAATTGAAAGTTCTAGCTAAAGCTGCACTGTCGCACCAGCTATTTTTTAGAATTATTTACCTGCAACATTCCAAATGCAAGATTCCTTTTTCTCCTGTAGTAATTATGGTACAACAAATCTTGACAGCCGTGCAAAAAGCAAAGCCTTGTTCTTTTAAATGGCCTTAGGCATCTGCCATGTTGAGAGGTCTACAAAATTCTGAACCCAGGGTAGATTTACTTAATTACCTCAGAGCCATGGGGCATGCTTATAAATCAAGTTTTATAAATCTTTAAATTATAAATAGAAGCAGCAACAACATTAGTTTAAGCCAGGGAAAATCAGCTCCCAAAAAACTGAAGACCTTCAAGAAACTAAGACCTAGAGGGTGGCCATACTGCACATAATCTGGCTTTGGGACAGGCAAGGTGTTCTCCAAGGAACATGGCCTCCCTCTGGATCACTGACATATCTGGGGACTTTGGCTGAGCAGTTCAAATCATCTATGTTGACATAAAACAAAAGACTAATTCTCTAAGGTAACCAAGACCAAAACCAGATAGAATTCATATCAGATAAGCAAAAATGTTTGAATAATTCATTACCTGTTATATCCATTGCCCCTCAGAAATTCTAAACTATGAATAAAAAGTCTGGCAAACTAAAATGCCATGTCAGGCTTCAGGATAACTGGTGAAGAGCTGAATATTCCCATCAGATTAAGGTTTGAAGCAGGAAACATTTTGACGAAGGCTTGATAAGACAGGTCTATGGTTATGCCTTGTGTATGACATATGGACCAAAACTTTTATGATATATATAGGGAAAGAGAATTGTTAAAAGATATAAAATGGCTCCTAAAATTGTAACAGCAAAAATAAATCCGCAAAAACCAATCTAATCAAAATCCCAAAGCACAAAAAAAACCTAAACAGAAAATCACCTGAGTATTATTATTGTTATGATTCTAGAAGTTTATATAACCAGAAATATTGTTAATCCATTCAACAAGCTTTTATTTATTGACCTCCCCCAATTCTGTCACAAAGCTTACATTAAAGATCAGGCAACTGACAATAAGAGCCTGCAAAAATTTGCTCGATTATACTATTTCTCACTGTCAAAGCCAGGATGCAAATTCAAGATTCCTATCTTCTTGTTTACATAATGCTTTGAGAGAAAAGAACGATAACTACAGTCTGCTTGACTCCTGAAGACAGTTAGACTCACAGCAATTTAATTTAGATGCCAGGGCTATGGTGCTTTCCCGACTGCTTTATCCTTACTACTTTTCACTTGAGGCATTTCCCAAAGGATGTGACTATTATTTAGCTGTTCTAGCTACTTATATTATCAAGATAATGAAGCTAAGGCTACCAGTTCAGTTTTCTCAGGGGACTTGCTATTTGTCATCTTGTGTTTTTAAAGCAAACAAATGATCAATGCAAATCTGCCTTCACTAGAGAATCTCATGACATAAAGGCATAAAGATAGTTTTGGATCAAGGGTGCTACCTTCAAAACTGACAGAAGGATGTCAATATTCATCTCTACACCTGATATCAGATCACCAGGGTCCTAGATCCAACAGGGAAAGCTCCCAATGAACTGAACAATTGTCCTTTGATCCAGGTCCTCCTCTTAATGATCTGAAGTTCCATGCTATCAAAACTAAAAACAAAGAATTCATATCCCCCACATGTGAATTGTCCCTTCCAGACTCACGCAGCCACAAACGCTAAGACCCCACATTGACAACCTACTGGACTTTGTTTCCACTTTCAGCAAAGAGGGTATGACTCAAACTACTGGTCTGTCCCAGTGGGATAAATCCAATGGGAATTTTACTGAAGGAAGCCTAAGGGAAAAAAAAAGAAAAGTTATTATGGTTATGGTCAGAAAATCAGGCTGAACAGAGAGACACAGATGTGTTCACCATGTCAAAGTAACTGACCCGAAGTCCAACACCCTGTCTCTCCCTTCCTTAGACCAGCAACCGGATAACGCTAAGTTGAGGGGTTTCTAGAAAATAAGGCAGGCCTTGAAATCAACAGGACTCTGAATCCGGAAGCAATATCTGGGTACTCATTAGCAGCAACTGGTTGAAAGAAATTTGGTTATGAAAATGAAGGTCTTAAAGATATTAAATAAATGTGCTACTGTGACAGAGACTATATTATGTTGTCACACTAGTTGAAAAAGTTGGGGATAAAATTCAACTAGAAATATCTAACATTTGTACAGTAACTAATGACAGCTCTTTATAAACCATCTCAAGTGTAAAAAAGGCAAAGACAATAAGCAAGTTCAAGTAGCAGTCCTTCATCCCTAGCCCTCTTCTCCCTTCCCAGAGGAAACCAGTACCCTGGATGCTGTGACATTATTACTTGTCACATTATTACTTGTCACATTCTTACTCTTTTATGACATATTTACATATCCATTAATAATATTGCTTTCTGAATTGCAAAACTCTGTAGAAATGCATAACATACTTTGGCAACGAGCCTTTTTTACTCAATATTTTTTAGAATTAATAATTTTATAGATATTTATATGTATATATGTCTATAAATCTATAAATATTTATAGATATATATCTCTATATATCTATAAATATTTATAGATATTTATAGATCTAATCCATTCATTTTTACTGCTACATGGCTTCCAGTATATGAATATACCATCATTTATGAAGGAATTCTGTGAAGAGAAGGTTCCATGGGAAAAATTTATATTTCAAACAATAGCTTTTCTGGTAAAAGCTCTCGGGTGCTCTGGAATACTAAAGCAGAGGAGTCCCCTGCAGATTAATCAAAGTGTTCTAGGACACAGGCAACAGTACTTTATTTGCTAAAACCCAAGGAAGCATAATTTGTGCCCACCTTAAAATATAAAATGGTGAAAAAAGGCAAAAGAAGATAAAAAGCACAGAAATGTAAAAAGCTAAAATGCAATTACTCTTTCTTGAAAGCTCACCTCATCTGCTCTTCGAAGAACTCCAGTAATAACCTACAAACATTAAAAAAAAATTATTATAAACAACCTGTATTTCCCCTCTCAAACAAAAATTGGATTCAATTTTCATGGATCACAAACTTGTTCCTGTTTTGTTCCTAGAAATCATGTCAAAAGATGTACTGGCTCTTAAAACATACAGTGTTCTGCAAAGGGATCAGAGTAAAATTAGATTTGATTCTTGACTTAAGATCAATAGTCCAATAAAGGCTAAGATGAAATAATTATGAAACCTCCATATTACATTAGCAATATTGTTCTGAGTTCTATAAAATGGATACAAATGTGAGGCACACATCAATCATACAGAGGAACCTACTTTCCATTACAAGTGCTCACACAGGAACAAAAATAACACTTTGATGCACGCAGAGAAGTCTGTGCTCAATAAAGATTTCTTATCCAGGAATATGAAGGCCAGGGGAACAGCAGCTCCTCTTTTAAAAGATATTTTTAATTTGAATGTGTACATCATTGTTTTTTAATTTTTAAAATGTGATACATGTGCCTTGTAGAAGTGGTAAAAAATACGTGAAGAAGAAACTACTCTCATTATCCCACCATGACATAACCATCATTTGCTTATGTTTTGGCATATTTCCCTCCAATACTTTTTTTATTCACTGCCTATTTTTGGATGACTGAGATTACACCAAATACACGAATGATTTGGTATATTTCTTAAAAACATTTTGTAAAGTAAAGACTGGTCAATCTTCTCCCTTCACCTCCTGCCTCACTGCATTGCAGGATTAAATGGGGCTGTCATGAGGTCTACTTCCTTCTTTGTTGGCATGCTATCAGTATTCTTCACACTTCATTAAAAAGCTATAAAAACAATTACTGGATCATTAGCACAGCCTTTCTAAAAGAAGCTTACTAAGGCTCACATAACTGCTAAGTCAAACGTAGGACACTGTTCTGTCTGCTGTTAGCTCCAGATCCCTTGACACTGATGAAACTACCCAATGGAGGCGAGAGCCCATCAGAAGGGAGGCCCAGATGTGAATTATGGCCCTCAGGATAGAAGCACTGAGCAGTTAGAGGGGCGCCTGCACTGGGCTCTTCAGCGGTTTCCAATATGTAATGAAGGTTCCAGTCTATTGCCCTCAAAAGGAAAAGCACTTCGAGGACAATGTACTTACTGTCCTTATTGGACCAGAGTTAGCATAAGGACATGAGATTTTAAAACAAAAGTAGATCGTATACCTGAACCTGTAGACTGCAGCCTCTAACTATTCTCTTACCAGGTAACATTCCATGCAATAGAAAAAATGTGAGAACACAAACATTTTTTTGGAGGGGATCTAGGTTTATTTTATAAGAACCATCCCTCATAATTAAAACTGATTCCCTAGCTCCCTAACTAACAGGGCTACTCCATTAGTCTCCAAAATATAAAAAGTTATATCATACCCACCACCATTTCTTATTTATGCAATTTTATCCAACTTAAATTTGATAAAACAAAACTAACTCCCCTTATATGCTGGGTATAAAGTTTATACAAAACAATGAAATAAAAGTGCATGACAAAAATGTAATGCTAAGCCTGTTTCAGAGAGTGAGGATTCTAAAAAATACAAAGAAATCATTTCCTTAAATTATAACCACTTATACCATTGCTCTAAGATCTAATTTCCATTGTCCTCACCTTCAAAATGGTTTCAAACAGAAAAACAGCCATACCTCCTGCAATGTCCCATCTCCTCCTGCAACAATGATCACATCTGTGTTTTCCATCAGTTCCAGGAGTTTCTTGGCTTGGCCCTCATAATCAGTCTGAAATACAAAAAGAAGTCTTTGGTAAATCTATCATCCCAGGGGCATAAGATCAAAGATGTAAAAATATGGGACATTTTCTTTAAAGTTTTACACAGAGTCTTTCCTTCAATTCTACATAATTAATAGACATGAAAAACAAGAGTTATCAAAGCAATCATATATACAGTTTTACACTGTTTAGAGCTGAAAGGGAACTCAGAAACCACCTTTAACCTTCCTTTATTTTTTTTTAAAAGATCTTATTTATTTATTTGAGTCAGAGAGCACACATAGGGAGAGTGAGAAGCAGCAGACACCTTGCTGAGCAGGGAGCCCGATGTGGGACTCAATCCCAGGACCCTAAGATCATGACCTGAGCCGACAATTAACCAACTGAGCCACCCATGCGCCCCTAACCTTCCTTTAAAAACAAAACCCAAACCCAATGATTTGTCTCTGGTTATACAGTTATCTATTCAAAGGACTCGTTTCCAGTCCAGTGCAGATTCTATTACACTATTTACCTGACATCTTTCATCTGAAAGCAGGAAGTCAGGTCTATATGCAAATAGAGAGAAGCAGATGTAATGAAAAAAGTACAGATTTGGGAGCCCAAGAGACCCAAATTAAACCCCAACTCTGCTACTTTCTAGCTGAGTGGCCTTAAACTTTCAGGACCTTAATTTCCTTATCAATGAAATTATGTGTATTGGAGTTGCGGTAATAATAGCTTCCCCATAGTACTGTTATAAAGCAGCATATAAAGCAACTAGCAAGGTAACTGCTCATGACTGGTACGCTATCTAAATGAAAGGTTAGGCTTTGTTAGGACTAGACAATAAGGCACAGGTGTGATTCAGAGTAGCAATGAAACAGTACCCAAACCTCACCATTTTTATTGAGATTATTTCCTCTCAGATACATATGCAGACTTCAATGAATCATCTAAGCTGCTGCCTCTAAAAGCAAACATTAAATTTTAAAAGACATAATGCAGCTAATACTAACATAGGAAACATCGCCTCCTATTGATACTGTAGTAGACACACTAACAGGCAAAAATTAAAGATTTGAATCTCAAATAGACTTAAAGCATGTAAGCACAGTTAACACAGAGGAAAAAAGAAGTCCCTAAACTAACACCATGAATTTTATGATGAATTATCCCTTTTATTCTAAAAATGAAATGGCTTGCTTTATAGTTACACATTTGCAAATACTAAATTTTTTTTAAAAGGATAGATGTCAATCCTGATTAAAATGACAGTTTGTGAGTACCCCCAAATAATCCTTGGGAATCAGTATGGGTTTGCTAAGAATGAGGCTTTTCAGACTATTCTCATCTTTTTTGACATTACTAGATCAGCAGATACAGGAAACCAGATGGACGTTGTATCTACTCTTCAGCAGGCACCTGGCAAGCTAAGTGATATATCCTTGGGGACAAGATGGAGAAATGTGGAAACAAGATACTAAAATACAAGTAGGTTAGTTTTTTTTGTTTGTTTTTTTTTTTGTTTGTTTTTGTTTTTTACAAGTAGGTTAGTTACCAACTGAAGGTCTGTACTCCGAGTGAGCAGTTCAGTGGAGTGACATCCAACTGTAGGTAAATTGCTAGTGACATTTCTTTGGGGCTCTCCCTTGAACCTTTTTTCAAGTTGACTCCATAGTGGAACCCAACTCAAGGCTTGAAACCACAACTCTGAAATCAAGACCTATGCTGAAATCAAGTCAGACACTTAACTGACTCAGCCATACAGGCAGCCCAAGTTTATATGATGCTATCAACAATAGAGATGAAAGGCATCTTACTGAATATGTAAATTGCAATCTTTTACAAAACAGACACTGGCCTCCTTACTATTCTTCAAACATGTCAAATACATTCCTGCTTCAGAGTCCTAGAAATGCAATATCCTCAGCCCAGATTCTTTCCCTCCTGCATCTGCAGGCCTCACTCCTTTGCAGCAGGTCTCCAAATGGTCATCTCCTCAAACCAGTCGTCTTTGACCTTCTGAAATAAACTAACACCCCCATTACTCCTAGTCCCCTTACTCTGCTTGACTTTCCTTCTTGGCACTCATCACCATGAGTTGTTGCTGACAAACTTTATGTTTTTGCATCTGTTTCTTATCTGCATCTCTCCCTTTCCCACTTTCAATGGAAGCTCTTTGACAACAGACATGGAAAAGTTTATTTTGTTCAGACTATATCCCCAAAACCTAGAACAGGGCTTAGATCACAGTAGGCAGTCAATACTTGCAAAAAAAGTTAATATAAGTACATGAATGAAAGAACCAAACTTCAAAAGTATTTCAACAGACTTAATAGACTATAATTTAAAAGATCACTTTTGTAGGGCTAACATATTTGAGGCTCTGGTGTTAAGAAGAAAATTCCAAATGCACAAAGGAAGGATAAAAAATATAAAGTGGCCTAGTGATATTAAATAAAGAAAAGTGAATCAAGTCAATAGGTCTTGATTGGAGGACTGCTACTTTTGCTGGGTATGATAATGACCCTGCAGTTATGCAGAAAAGTAGCCTTTTTTTTTTTTTTAATAAAGAGTGCATACTGAAGTATGTAGGGGTAAAAATGACTTGATGTCAATAATTTACTTCAGAGAACCCATCTACCATGTGAAGATGCCTGCTGGGGACCCTCTGAGCCAGAAAAAAGCAGAGCCCACCTACAGATTCATGAGTTAGGCCATCCCTCCTCAGCCTTGCCACAAAGGAGCCCAGCACAAGGTGAGACCACCACGAGGGCAGCTCTGAACAGACCGCTGAGCAACAGAACCTTAAGCAGAGAAGCAGCTGTCAAGGTAGTATGTTATGTAGCAGTACATCACTAGTATAGAAATAAATATAGCAATAATTGCAATAAACATTAATGGGTTCAGTTATCCAGTAAAAAGAGGGAAAAAATGATTGGATCTTTTAAATACCCTGTCATGCCTTACCAATAAAGCATCTAAAATATAAAGACACACAAAGGCTGAGAGTAAAGGAATAAAAATATCACACCAAGCAAAAACTAACCAAAGTAAGTTACTAGAGTCACTAAGAAAACTAAGTAAGATACACAGACCGTGGCCAAGGCAGTGCTGGGGCTGAAGAGAATTGCTCTAGGACAGGGTCAAAATGCCAGAAAAATAAAGTGATTTGAAACTTGTAAGCATCTATTGACATCATCTCAAAATATAAACAGCAAAAATGAACAAAACTACTACATAAATAGAAAATCCCCGATAGCAGTGGAAGAGTTCTAAACTAACCACCCCCCCCACCTTCATAATTTATAGTTAAAGCAGAAGAAAAAAGTCAGTAAGGACGCAGAAGACTAGAACCACACAATGATCAGACTTGATTTACTGGGCATGTGTAGATCATGGTACCTAGTAAGTGGTACATATTCCTTTTAGGCATACGGGGAACATTTATGAAAACAAAACACACAGTAGGCCATAAAACAGAACCCAAACTTTCAAATGCTGGAAGTGTATTGACTATATTTGTTGACCATAATGCAATCAAATAAGAAACCATTAATAAAAAGATAACTAGAAAAACTTTATTTTGGGAAATTTTAAAACATGTCTAAATAACTTATAGGTCAGGCAAAAATCATGACGTTAATTAGAAAATATTTTTAAATGAATGGTAATGAAAATAGTAGACACAAAACTTAGAAGATGCAGTTGAAGCAATAGAGAGAAATTTATAGCTTTCTATAAATTAGAAAAGGGTAAAAAGTAAGTAAGCATCCAAGTTAAAATGTCAGAACAGCAGAAAAAAATCTAAAGGAAGTTGAATGAAGGAAACAGTAAAAAACACTAGAAATTCATGAAAGAAACATAAACAAGAAGATCAATGAGCCAAAAAATGATTCTTGGCAAGGATTCATTGACACAGCTCTCACAAGACTATTGAGAGAAAAAAATGGCACAAATAAATAATATGATTAAAATGAGATATCACAAATGTTTTTGGGTTTTTTTTTTTTAAGATTTTATTCATTTATTCATGAGAGGTACAGAGAGAAAGAGGCAGAGACACAGGCAGGGGGAGAAGCAGGTTCTATGCAGGGAGCCCGACATGGGACTGGATCCTGGGTCTCTGGGATCACACCCCAGGCCGAAGGCAGCGCTAAACCACTGAGCCACCCAGGCTGCCCAAGATATCACAAATGTTACATAAACTTGCAAGAAGAGGAAATTAGGAACTTGATACCAATTAATTTGAAACCTAGATGAAAAGAACAAATTCCCTGAAAATGTTGGATCATCAAAATTCATTCAAGAATAGAACTTGACTACTTCTAGAACCACTAAAGACCTTTAATATATAAAACAGTTTCCCCTAAAAGACAGCTCTAGGTCCAGATCATTTGATTTGAGTTCATGTGAACATTCAAGGGAGCGCTTTCATGTAACCATGCTAGGATCTCTCATACACTGGGTCGAAACATGCATTACAAACACTCACATTGATGTTAGTTCTCTTCCCCTTTCTCTCATCCCTGGAGACAGACAACTGGAAGACCACATCACAGACCACTTGGACATCAACATTTCATGGTAAAGTGGACTAAATTACCTTTTAATCTCTGATTTCATGAAACTGTGTAATATTAAAAATAAACCACAGATTTACAAACATAACAAGAGTGATTTTCACCAAATGCATACACACATATCACTTAAAAGTCAACAGAGTTTTGGGGTGTCTTCTATCTAGCACAGTTCCTGCTAACTTATCTTTGTCCCCTTTTCTTAGCTGAATACTGCAAATTCTAAAGCTTTAACATTTAAAATTCCTCGCCAGAGAGAAAATGTTTACCTGTCTGTGGAACTACCAAGAAATTAAATTAACTACTCAAACTGGAAATTTTTTTATTTTCAGGAAAGAAATTGTTATAGCTAGAACCACTTTCATCTTTCAAGAGACAATAATTCCACATCCTAGCTTTCAGATGAAAGGAATCCAGTTCATGCCTCCATCTAATCTTATTCTGAAAATGAAAAGCTGACAATGCTTTGAAAAAAACAAAACCACTTTTATTAATGATCAAAACAAAGACACAACGTTGATTTCTCTGTTCCCAGCCTCTTACGTGATAAGTGATTTCTGCTACAAAGTCAAGAGAAGAGGATAAGCTGTAAGGAGTGGTAGCTTGGATAAAATCAACACTCTGGAGTGTTCTTACCTTAACAACAGTCACATCCATGCCAGATAAGTGTAAAATCGGGGCAGCATTTTTTTCAAATAGAGTCCTGGCTTTGCTGCAGACAAAGGAAAAAATACAAAAATTTTGACCAAGTTCTCAAGAGGAAGAATAAAAAGCCCAACCACCTTAACTAGAGTAGAACTAGAAACAGCCTAAGAACACAGGTTTCCTTCATTTGTGCAAGTATAGGAAGTCAAACGAGTTATCAGGTTCTACGGGTAGAAATGGAGACGTCACTCACTACTCTGGGGCCTCCAGTTTACCTTTGAATACAAACAGCTCTTACCCTCGTGGGATGCTTGCAGTTCCAATCTAGTTCCTCTAGAAGAATGTACACTACATATGGCCCCACTCAGGACACAATGTTTGATGCATTCAGCAAGCATTTCTTGAGCACCCACTATGTGCTAGCCACAGGTGTAAGAGCTAGGGATACAACATGACAAAGGAGACAAACACTTCCAACTTAAGGGTGATGTTGTCAGTCCTCATAGAACTTATTTATATTCCAGTGGTAGAGGGAAGAGAATATATTTAACATATACATTCCCAAGGGAATAATTTGAACCCCACAGAATATAGATTCTAGCTCAGTGGATACAACTTTTGAAGGAAAAATATATCATTTTGAACAATTTGAAATACTAAGGTATCTCTATTTCTTGAGTTTCAGACCTGTAGTGACATCCCAGAGGAAGGAGCAAAATGCTTTTCCATGAAAATTTTTCCAAGGCAAAATTTCCACTAAGAAAGGAAAAGTCTGAAATTATCTAACGCAACTTTAGGATAATCAGTAGCTTGTCTGAATCACATCCTTCTCTTGGTTGCCCTATCACATTGTACATACCTCTATTAGGAATTTTCATAGGGCACTGACAACCAGTGATTTGCAAGACAGTCTTTCGCAACACTGGAAGCCTTGCGAAAAAGACACCAAATCCTATAATCCTGAGTCCCCCAGCCTCTAGGATTATGTCTGGCACACTTACAAGATACTTAATAAGCATCTGATCAATTAATACACTAAGGTATGAATAAACGAACCTGCCCCCCATGTAGATATGTAAGTTCTGCAGGAAAGGAAACAACACGATTGTGAAGCCTTGTGAGAACAGAAACAGTTAAAGAGCCCCTTGAAGACAGACAGAGAGAGAGAGAAAGAGAGCGTGCCTGCGTGCGTGTGTGTTTTAAAAGCCACATCTTTGACAGTGATTCTTGTCCAATTAAGGTCAGGAGTCAGAAACACAGCCCAGGAATCAAAGAATCCAAAAGTTGCAGAAAGTCCCAATGGCATAGTTTCAAAGTTGAACATACCAATCAGTAAACCTGTTATTCACCTAAGTATTTTCAACTACTGCATCAGAAAAAAACAAAAACTAGAACTTACAAAACAACGAACATGTAACTTCCACATCCACGTTTAGTCATTTTTTTAAAAAAACTTAAAAAAAAAAAAACACATGCTTTGACTTTCTTAAGAGTATTTTATACTAGCAAGAGGTGCCACGGCAACTAATGAGGAGCATGTAGAGTCAAGCACAAACCAAATTCAACATTTTTAAAAAAATAACCACCAAAGGGCAGACAGAAACATGCAATACTTATGAATTAAAATAGAAATAGAAAAATTGGACAAATTTTCACAAGAAACATTTAAAAAAGGTATCTCAAATCAAGGGCCTACTTGAGCATGTTGTAAGCAAATCACACAAATATCCCCTGCCCTTTCTCCTGCTCTGAATGCTTATCAGAATGAACAGGAAAGACTAAATGAAAATTCGCCCTCTCCAGCTCACTACTTCTGGGGCTTAACCCAACAACAAAGGGCTGATACTACGAATGTTTCTACTTCCAGGGCTGTTTTCCTTACTGGGTTGATAAGAAAAGATCAGTTGGAGATAGATGAGCTCTCGCTAAGAAGCAAAACTCTGGACAAGTTTCAATCGGCTATATTAATTATTTACAACAAATCTATAACTTCCTCCAAGTTAAAGAAATAATGATTTGAACATTTAAGGCTTTTATTCACATCTTTGTGTGATGCCACGGCTATGGAAAATGTCTAAAATTCCAATGTTCCATATAAAAGATTGAAAAACAAGTGTTACCAGTAAGAAATGCATTATTTATTATATAATTAATGGTGAGATAGCACTAGGGCTAAATACAAAGTTTATATACCTACTGCAATTTCCAGGTCCACATACACACACAAAAATAATTACTTCTTAATGTATTATTTATTAACACTAAACACACAGTTATCTTATTTCTTAAAGTGCCTATGTAGCTTTAAACCAGTACTACATAATGAAATAGCTACATGATGAATTATATATTATATGTTAGAGTAGAGCCAAGATGACAAAAAGTGCAATTAAATAGTGAAAGCTTTAGGGAAAAAAACATGCTGGAGAGTTTCAGAGTGGCTGATACCTAGAAGCATGCAAGGATTCACCTTGAGAAAGGGGACAATAATTTTAGAAGACTTTCCATAGCCTCACTTTAAAAGATAAAAATGCTATACTTTTAATTAGCAACAATCGCGCCTCGGATAAACCTCATTGGCTACGATACTGCCACTGCACAAAGCTAAAAAAAATGCTATACTTTTAAACAGTAATTCACCTTTAAAAATGCCAACATATTTATATGTAAAAATGTAAACAGAACCTAAAACTGTTCTGAAAAAGTTTATTTTTTAACGTAATTATCCCTTGTAAGTAGGAACTTAAAATGACAGATTATAACTTAAACCAACGGTCATAAATTTTTCTCTATCAGAATTAGCAAGTTCCTAACTAACAGGTCTCTAAAGAAATAGCTAGAACAGTTATATTAAAGTAGCCAGAGGCACAAGCACTTTTGGGAAGAATGGGGGAGGAAAGGAGAGAATGCTTTGAACCTAGCCAACATGTTAATAATAATCACAGTCGCTTATGTTCCTTTCATCCAGTGCTTACCATGAAGTAGAAATGCTGAACATGTCATAGGCATTATCTGCTTAACTACAAAGGCACCTATTCTATATGGCAAATTTATAAGGTATGAACTATTACTTTTCCCACTTTACAGATGAGCATACTGAGGATTTAAGTCCAGTAATTCCCATATCACAAAGAGTATATAAGCCCGATCCCTCAAACGCTGTGCTAGCTCCTGTCACAGAACCCCACTGTTTAATTATCTTAGATACTGTGAGAACCTGTTCACGTGTTGGTTATTAAACAAGAATGATCAATAGGCATTAGGATTGGTGTGTTTATGGGGGAGTGAGGTGGCTCTAACAAAGCCAGTCCAGTAGGATTCGATTAGGCAGTGTCCCAGAACCAGTTTAGACAATCTATAGACAAATACCTTAAACCGCAGAATTTAAAATAAGGCATGCGGCGCCTGGCTGGCTCTCAACTTCAGCTCAGATCATGATCTTGGTGTTAAGCATCTCTCAATTTCAGCTCAGATCATGATCTTGGGGGTTGTGAGACAGCCCTGTATCAGGCCCCATGCTGGGTATGAAGCCTGCTTAGGATTCTCTGTCTCTCCCTCCCTCTCCCCACTCTGCCCCTTCCTTCTCAGGCTCTCACTCAACACCCCCCACCCCCCAAAAAAAGGTATGATTTGTGTTTATATTTGTAAATCCATACTATCTAAAATTACTAGAGAAACTTATTTCAGAAACCCTGCATCTTACATAAGACCAGTTAAAAGCTGGTCCCAACCAATCTTTGTTGTTCTTAATATCTTGACATCATTTGACTTTGATCTCTAGAATCCAACCTAATACATATTTATTAACTTTCCAATCCTCAGCAAAGACAAAAAGAATGGTTCTGGTCACTAGGGATAATAAAAGCTATTACTCACCTCCCCACCTCACATACAAACTTTTCATTCTTACGCTTTTTAGAAAATAATTTTAAGTTTTAAATGATTTCCTCTAAAAGCCTTCAAGGTCTCTTTTATTCACTTCTCCAACTGAATGAGAATAGCAACTAATATTGAAACTTTTTTTTTTTTTTTTTTGCTTATGGTACTTTTTAAAAATTTATAGACTTTATTTTTTAGAGCAGTTTTTAAGTTCAGAGTAAAAATGAGCAGAAATTACAGAGAATTTCCACGGACCCTCTGCCCTGCTACACACACATACGGCCTCACCCACTTTCAACATTCTGCACCAGGGTGGGACCTTGATACAATGAACATAAACACATGATTATCCACCGAAGTCCCAACTCTTCTTTACACCTAAATTCCCACAATTCCTTCACACAACTCTTCCAGGCCAGCTAGAGCAGGTCACAGACTGGCCAGTGACACAGCAAGGGACATACCTAGTTACTCCTAAGGCTAGGCCCCCGACCCCCTGGGCCATTTCCTCAGTCAGGAAGACTAAGTGTTGTCCCTCTGCTGACCTCTAAGATCTAGCTCAAGGCTCATTCCTTTTGGAAAGAATGTTTCTGACTTCACAAGCCTATCAATGCTCTGGGTTACCATGGAACATCCTGGACAGAGAAGGCCCAATTTTTTTTTTAATATATTTTGTTTGTTTATTCATGAAAGACACAGAAAGAGGCAGAGACCTAGGCAGAAGGAGAAGCAGGTTCCCTGCAGGGAGCCCGATACAGGGACTCCATCTCACTACCTGGGGATCACGACCTGAGCCAAAGACAGATGCTCAACCACAGAGCCACCCAGGCACCCCTAAGGCCCAATTACGTAGATCACAACAGCAGGAGCTGTCACAAGCAGGTAAGATTCACTTGAGAGTATTAATTCTGGGAATTTTTTTAAGATTTATTTATTTACTTATTTGGGGGGTGGGGCAGAGGAAATGAGTGAAAGAATCCTAAAGCAAACCACCCCCCAGCACCCCACCCCATGCAGCCCAACACTAGGGCTCCAACCCAGGACCCTGAGATCATGACCTGAGCCGAAACCAAGAGCTGGCCACCCAACCAAATGAGCCATCCAAGCGCCCCTAATTCTGGAATTTTTATTAAACTTCAATTAGACAAGTTTGCTAAGCATCAGTTAACTTTACAGTTATAGCTCATTAACCGTTCTTTCTCCATTACAAATTAATCTCATTGCTAAACGAGTACTGAACCTACTTTTTCCAATTCCATGCAATCCAACTAGCCGCCTGATATTCTGTGACTTTCTCCCCCCTCAGGAAAACTTTATGTGACAAACCACAAACTGAACTACCCTCTGCAAGCTGCAGGATTGAGAAACACCGTTGCCTTCTTCACTTGTGCATTGGGAGGAATGAGTTGATTGCCAAACACCTAGGAAGGAAGAAAGGAAAGTTTTCAGCAAATGTCCTTTATATTCAGTTAGTGATTACATATATTCTTTCATTACAAAGAAATCTACTTCCAGAAGACATGGTATGGACCCTGGGGGTTAAAATATCCTTTCATGATTTCATATTGACAAAAATACCATGAACCATCACCAAGTCTACCATTATTTAATGATAATCAGGTAAAATTTTTATAATAATAATAATTTTTTAAAAACCTACTTCATCTACTAGAGATAGGTAGCTTTTCTTTTCTCTACAAGACACGGCTAGGCCTATTATAAACACATAACCAGCAAGGCCACAGTCTATCAAAAGGGAAGTTTAATCCAACTGTCCTTAGTCTTCAGAATATAACCTTTTTCTCCTTCAATTTATTACTAAAGCTTATTCATAAAGAACCTTTGTGTTAGGGATCCCTGGGTGGCGCAGCGGTTTGGCGCCTGCCTTTGGCCCAGGGCGCGATCCTGGAGACCCGGGATCGAGTCCCACGTCGGGCTCCCGGTGCATGGAACCTGCTTCTCCCTCTGCCTATGTCTCTGTCTCTGTCTCTCTCTGTGTGTGTGTGTGTGACTATCATAAAAAAAAAAAAAAAAAACCTTTGTGTTACTAATTAATCTTCATACATATAATAAATAAACCTAATAATCTATTTGCCTCCTCCTCTTTACAGCCTTATATAACTTGATAACTAAATAGCATCAAATAGGGGATTAAGGAGGGCACTTGTGATGAGCACTGGGTATTGTACGGAAGTGATGAATCACTACATTCTACTCTTGAAACCAATTTTACCATATATGTTAACTAACTAGACTTTAAAGACTTGAAATAAATAAATAATAATAATAAACAACATCAACTGGCAAGGGAAGGAAATATAATTAATATTTACTAAGCACCTAGTATTTGCCGCTCTCCTGCACATTATTCTTAGCTCTCAGAAACTTAGGAGGTAATTAAATGTCCTCATTTCAAAAGTTTAGAAAACCAAGATTCAGAAAGATTAAGTCCCTCAAAGTCACATAGTTAATAAATTATCAGCCTAGTATTTATATCTAATTCCAAAACCCCAACTTCTACTTTGTCAGCTCTGAGAATCAGTTAAAGGAGGTGCACAGAAACAGAGGTGCAGAGTCAAAATAGGAACGAACGTGAGCACTGCTAATCCACCCGGACTGGGGAAGGCCACCAAACAGAAAGAAGTAGGAAAGCACCAGAGTCAAAATGTGGAGTCTTTGATGGTGGGGAGCAGGTCACAGCCAAGGAGGCAGAACTCCGGTATGGAAGCACAAAGTAAAGACAGGAGAAAAAAATGAGCTCTACCATGATTTTTATGAAGTGGCCCTTTTATTAAGTGACCACCACCTCCCTGACAGTCCCACCAGACAGCCGTTCTCACCATGGTCTATTTCTTGCTTTAAAAATATACACTTTTTCTGAATGTTTCAGGAAGATATCCTGTTTCTTTGTGAAGATTTCTGGTACATTATAATTTCTACTCTGTCGTCACTTTTACTGAATTCAACCTTAATATTTTGCTGCCAAATCTCCAAACACTGTAATGTGTTCTTTTGTTATCCATACTTCTGGAATGTAGCCAGAAATTATTCAGTTAGCCAGTTTCTCTGACCTACCAGAGTCCAGATCTACAGTTCCAGATTATTCTCCTTTGTCCTGGTTTCCTAGTCTCTACAGTTCTTATTTACCCACAACTCTCAGCTCAGGTTTATGGTGCGTTAAGGAGCTTACGTAAGACTACAATGAGTTGAGTTTATGTGAGATTAAAAAAAATCAATCTTTTAAGAATTTAGACTGTAAAGGGAAGCCATAAACAGGAAAAGTAAGTAGAGTAGGCTCCAAGGATAAATTTACTTCCATTTGCCAGATGGAAGGAGCTCCATGGGTGCTGAGAAGGAAAGAACTAGAGGCAGGGGAAGAGGTAAATATACAAGAGCGAGCAGCAAGAAGAGGAAGAGTCTCTGAGGAAGGACGAGATGGCACTCAGAGCAGAGGGAGGAGGCATTTCCCTCACAAGGAGAGGACCCTGTGACACTCTTCCTTAGGGAGACCAAGAAAAGGTTCCCCTCCCAAGCTTTTCCAGTGGGGATCACTGCTCCTTGGGGTGGGGATCATTCATTTTCTTTTTTAAAAATAAGGATTTTATTTATTTATTCATGAGAGACAGAGAGAGAGAGAGGCAGAGACACAGGCAGAGGGAGAAGCAGGCTCCATGCAGGGAGCCCGATGTGGGACTCGATCCCGGGTCTCCAGGATCACACCCTGAGCCAAAGGCAGATGCTCAACCACTGAGCCACCCAGGCATCCCAGGATCATTCATTTTCACAACAGCAGAGACATAGGAGATAAACAAATGGAAAAGTAATTGAATTCTTAAAACACAGATTTAGAACAGTCAAGATTGCCACCAAAGTGAAGAATGTATTAATAGCATCTACTGTCATCATCATCATCCATGGAAGCATTTTGGTAACAAACCTGAGGTCTGTCACCCACCTCCTTTCACTAAATACATCAGACCTTTGTCGTTTTTTACTTCAGGTTTCTTTTTTTGGTAGTTCTGATATTATAAGCTTAAATGACATACAACAAAAAAGCAACTCGGTTGTGGAAATTCACCTGCAAGGCATAACATATAAACTTGGAGAGAAAGAACAAAAATGTGGTCTTAAACTCAGAAGGATTTATAATTCAGCTATAATTAATACATGAATATTTAAGCACAGTATCATGGGCCTGGGAGAACAATGCACACGTGGTATGAATCGACTGTGCTGAACAGACAGGCTTTAAAAATATGAATCAACAGCTTTAAGAAGATTTGACTTTAAGAGGTAACACCTGTTCCGAACGGAAATCCTTGGGGGTTATCGGGATCAGGGAAGACTCGAGGCTCGGCCCGATCTTTAAGGACAACCACCGACATGAACAAATTCCCAGAGCTCCAACCAGCCCATGTATGTGTTCTTAGGACTAATCCAGAAGTAAACAAGTCTAAAGGGGTGGGCGTTAGAACTGCTCTTCACCAGATGGTTAACTTCCTCACGCTCTGTTCAGAGCTGGCTCTCCGCCTGACTCATCCCCTGATAGTAGGGAAAAAAAAAAAAAATCCGAAACTGCACTGATGCAAGGCACCACGCAGGTCCCCCAGAATAGCTGGAGTTTTCTGCACAATGGAGATAAAGCGGGTTTTAATTTTAGCATGCTAAATGACATTACCTGAGCTTCTTGACAGGCCGCTCTCCTTAGCAGGTTGTCACTATCAAAGTAAACAAAGAGAATGAATATTAGCTTTAATAAGCAGGTTAAGATCCAAACAAATAAAACTTTTCTTTTTCTTTTTTAAATAGGCACAACTCTTCTCTATGAAATATCCAAATGAAAATTAAATTTGTTAAAGACCTGTGACAAATCACGGATACACGTGAAAAGTACTGAGTGATATCCATGTTAGGTATCCCTATAGAATGGTAGGCAAAATACCCTCCCCTCCAAGATGTCGACATCCCCATCCCCAGAACCTGAAAATGTTACCTCACATGCAAAGGGGGTTTACAGACGTGATTAACTTTAGGATCTGGAGATAGGAAGATAATCTTGGATTATGTAGGGGAGCCTAACCTCATCACAAGGGTCCTTAAAAGCACAGAAACTTTCCTGGCTGAGATCAGCAGCAAATGTGACCGTGGAAAAAGTGCCAGAAAGGTGCAAGCCTGCTGGTGCTAAGGACGGAAGGAGGCCTCAAGTCATGGAATGGAAAAGAAGGAAATGTTTCTCCTCTAGAGCCTCCAGAAGGAATGCAGTCCTTGTCAACACCTTGACTTTAGCCCAGTAAGACCTGTGTTGGACTTGAAACCCACAGAACCGTAAGTTAATAGATGCATGTCGTGTGAAATCACGAGGCTTGAGGGAATTTGTTAGTGAAGCGACAGAAGACTGATGCACATATACTGCATTTTTCTTATCCAGTGGAAATTTTTCAGGTCATTTGCCAGAAATAAATTTGATGTTTAGTTGCTTCTGCTACTGTGTTATCTAAATCTCTTATTTTTTTATATCACTGATAGACACTCAATTATAGCACAAGTGAGAAATTTTGCTTGCAAAATGAAAACATTTGATCAGAAAAATGTTCGTCTATGTAACAGAAAGGTTCCTAAAGTGTGTTTATGCCATTTATACTGTAAGAACACCTTAAATGACTGATTGCCCACCAGGTGCCAGAATCTTCTCCTCGAAAGAGTCAACTCTAAGGCGTGTTGCTGGCATTGCTAAGATAGTAACTTCGACCTGGTTAATGATGGTTAAAACAATAAGCCAATAAACAATTTATAGGAAAGAATTAAAAGGAGAAAAGGATTCTTTTTTTAAATGATGGTACAGAGCAGTCAGTTTTAACAAGAAAGCATCAAGTGTGGGGAAGGATCACTGCTGCCCATCTGTGGGTATTTACTCAAAGAATAGGAAAACAGGGATTCCTGGGTGGCGCAGCGGTTTGGTGCCTGCCTTTGGCCCAGGGCGCGATCCTGGAGACCCGGGATCGAATCCCACGTCGGGCTCCCGGTGCATGGAGCCTGCTTCTCCCTCTGCCTGTGTCTCTGCCTCTCTCTCTCTCTGTATGACTATCGTAAATAAATTAAAAAAAAAAAAAAGAATAGGAAAACGCTTAATTTAAAGGGGATACATAGACCCCCTAGGTTTATATAGCAGCATTATCAACAATAGCCGAATTATGGAAACAGCCTAAGTGTCCATCAATTGATGAACAAAGAAGATGCTGTATATATATATTATATATATATACACACACACAATGGAAATATTATTCAGCCATTAAAAAGGGTGAAATCTTGCCATTTGCAAGGACATGGATAGAGCTAGAGAGTATAATGCTGAGATAAGCCAGTCAGAGCAAGACAGATACCATAGGATTTCACTCATCTGTGGGATTTAAGAATCAAAACTAGCAAAGGGAAAGAAAAGAGAGAGAAGTCAAGAAACAGACTCTTAACTACAGAGAACAAATTGATGGTTACCAGAAGGGAGGTGGGTTGGGGGATGGGGTAATAGGTGTTGGGGATGAAGGAGGGCACTTGTGAGGAGCCACTGGGTGATGCATGGAACTATTGAATCACTCTACTGTACACCTGAAACTAATAGAACACTACGTTAACTATACTGGAATTAAAATTTAATTTAAAAAATACTGCCCATCTGAAACCTAAGAACAACGTTCTATTAAAATTATAATGACACCATACCTCAAAAGTGCATGCTGTTCTATAACAGACATTTTAGGGAGACTAATCCCTTGTGAAGACAAGTCCACAAGCCACTTTAACTGCCAGGCTCCCCACCTGACTGAGTGATGTTGCCCCACTACTACCCTGGAGGCAAAGGAGAGGTACATAAGCTTTTCTCTCTTCCGCCACCTGAGATTCACATATATGCATGTTTTGCATTTCTATCCAAATGCTGTCAACTGCTCTCAGGGAATCATCAACAATTACATAGATTTTACACTCGCAGACAAGATGAGGCTAATTAATTCAAAGTACAGAGCAATAAAATATTTAAAGATAATTAACATGTCAACAACCCTTTATAGGTGACTTTGACCCCTCACATTCATGACCTCTATACAATAAGGTAAAATACTAAATTCTTAGTAACCACTAGATCACCAAATAAAACTAGTCTCCTAGTAGTAACCTGAGCATTGTCACCAGATCCTCTTGTACTAAGCTAATCCCCAATCCAGCTTCCACACTGGCCCTGGAGGTACCACTACCACCACACGGAACCACACAGAACTGTGCTCCTCCAAACAATGCCTGTATTTTTCCTATAGATAAACAACCTGTGCCTCCAGTTCTCTTCTACGATGAACATATCCTAAAGATTATTCCATACAAGCCCTCCATACTGCTACGAAAGCTACATACCTGCCTGTTCATTCCTGTCCATTTCCCCCAGCTGGCTCCTCCCCTCCAACTGGGGGCAGGCCTCTGAAAGTGCCAGCCTCCTCTGGGTCATTAGTAACACACCACCTTCCTTACTGCATTTCAGCCACATGGATTCCTGTGGGCCTAGATGAAAAGAGAATGGCCCCAAATACACACAATAGAGCACCTTGGATCACTTTTTCCTAAATTCTTTCCGGATAGAAGTAAAATTTTGAATGTTAACTTGTGATTAAGTATATAATTAAAGACTTCGGTTCTCTTGAGCTTGCTAATACTCCTTGATTTATCAGAGTGCTATTCAAAAATCAAAAGATTCCTTTAAAATTAATTCCCTGGATTTTAATGTGCCAGATGGAATAGGCTGTCAGTGCCACCTGTGAGAAAGCTAGACTATGTACCAATTTAAATTCTACAAAAGAAAATCTCATTATAATCACACTTAATTTTTTTAAATATCAAAAATGGTATTAGCCATCTTGATCTTGCTCTCTGAACCAAGGTGTTTCTAAAAATCAAACATATCCTTAAAGAAAAAAAGATCTCTCCTATTGATATATTCTGATGGTCTATGGCCAGTTCTGAAAACTATTTCAAAAAAGAAATTCCAAAAATGTTTCAAGAAAGGCAGCTTTCTTTTGGAATAAAAGAGAAAATAAGTTGAAATTCAAAGAGCAACTCCTATGTGTCAGATACTATGACAGTTTTTCTCAAATACCTTTAACCTTTGTAACAGCCTTGCAAGACAGGCATTCTCATTTTATGTATGAAGAAGTTAAGGCTCAGAGAAGGAAAAGACTTGTCCAAATTCACCATGTTACTCAATAGTAGACTAGAATTCAAACTCATGCTGACTTGACCCTGAAATACATGCTCTAATGCTATTTCTTAACTTCAGACAATACTGATTGTACAATGCTCATTAGCATATACACTTTATAGCACATTCATTAATCACATTATTTCTTAATCTCATCTAATTTTTAAAATTTACATTCATACAATTTTTTTTAATAAGTTCAAGTGCAACAAAGCTCCCAAAAGTAGCAGGCGAAATAAACTCACTTAACACAAAGTGCTGGGTATGGTACAATGACCCAGATTTGGTCCTGACCCAAAGCAGCTTAGGATCTAGTGGCAAGAACAGCAAGTATCAGTGATAAAATAAAAGATGTGTTTCTTGACAAATGAAGTGCCAGGCACTCTGCTGGGCATCGAGGATATACTGATGAATAAACCCAAGATTCCCCATCCTCATGAAGTTTACAGTTTAGAAAGGAAAAAAGACAATCCAACAGGCAGTCATAATGTGATGTGACTTTTATGTGTTCCATAATGGGGGCCCACTTAGGAATAGCTAACCTAGTCTTGGGGAATTAGAGAAGGCATTTTATAGGAAAGGACAGTGAAATGTAAATCCAGGGGAGAAATTAGAAGTGGCAGGGCAAAAACAGGGAGGAGAACATGGGCAAAGGAAGAGACTGTAGGAAGCTGAGAGGACAGGCCCATACAGGAAATGGAAAGTAGCTCAAGACAGCCAGAGGCAGTCTGCCACGGAAGAAACCATACAAGAGGAGGGCAGGGACCCAGCCAGGCCATCAGTGGCCTTTTAAGCTATTTAAGGAATTGGGACTTTACCCCAGGGGCCGTAAGAAACCACGAGAGGGTTTTAGAAAGATCTGTTATGTTAGAAGGACTACTCTGGTTGCAGTGTGAGGGTTGGCCATGGTCAAGGCAAGACGATCTAGGGAGACCAGGGTGGGTTCTTCGAGAACGCAGGTGGGGGATGCTGACATAATGACCCCTGGAACCAGGATCGAGGAGAGGACAGAGGCAACTGGTATTTAGGAGGCAAACTTAAGGGCTGACCTGTGGGGACTGAAAGGAAGGGAGGGGTCAAAGGCAGTGTCCACATTTTTCTACTGAGCCCTTGGCAGAAGGTGGTAACACTCAGAGACAGAAGACAGTACGAGGTACAGGTCCAGGAGGGAGGAAGCCAGGGTTTGTTCTGGATCTGTAGATCTGAGACAACGGTGAGTCCAGGTGGAGGTGTCCAGGGGACAACTGGAAAGACATGTCTGGAATTCCAGACAGTGATCCTGACTAAAGATACATGTGGTAATAGTGGGCTGAGAGCAGAGCGATTATCTACATGAAGAGACAGGAAGCAGCAGGAAGAGATGCCCTGAGTCCTGGGACAGACGACAGAACACCAGATGAATCTTAAGTACAGATACTGCACCTCACCTGAAAACCAAAGAAAAATGTGCTGAGGGGCTCCTGGCTGGCTCAGTCA